AAATATACATTGATTTTCTAATCAACATTCCTGAGTTTGCACTTAAAAAATACCTGCTCTGGATGTATTTTAAAAGTTTGTGTTAACTACATTTGATGCAAGAAATATTACCTTTTTCACAGATTAATTTAGATCAGTGTCGCTGATGAAGCCACTTCAAACATATGACTTATAGCACCTAAATTTAATTTTGGGAAAAGGCCCCAAACATGCTACTGGTGACAGAGCTGCTCACATTTAGCAGCAGGTAGACAAGAAGAGATAAGACAACTTCTTTATTAAAGATCACTTTTAATAAAGACCTGCAGCTCCTTGGCAGTTCCTCACACCTTCTAGTGGAAGCAGAAGCCCATGGAGAAGAATGCACATTCCACCCATTTACAGTAAGTCCAAAATTTACCAGCGATTCAAAAGACCGTAATACCCAGAGTCCCTTCACACTTCTGGAACAGGATGAGAAGATCTAGCAATAAGAATTAAACCTCTAAGGGCTAAGATCTATATATCTGCCACAGTGGAAAAAGCAGAACAGGAGTAAAACCGATTTGATGACAAATGGGGAAACAAACAAAACAGACTGAATTGCTTGCATGCTACACCAGTCACCTAGCATGAGATTGATGCAGATCAAGAAATACAAAACATTAGATTGACTTTGACCCAATTTGCTTACATGCAGTACTACCTGCACACCGGCTCACAGATCTGCATGCGTGTTTGTCTGAGTATTCAAAAGCTAGTACCAATTAGTAGCAACGGGCAAGACACAGAGGTATTCCAGACAAATACCACAAGCCCCTGTGTTCTAAACTCCAGAACAGCCACAAGTCCATGCATTCAAATCATCCTTTACAAGATTTCACATTCTAGGCAGTTTTAAAGACAGGATTTAGCAGGAATGAAAATGTTGCCTTCTAAAGTTGTAGGCAAGGAGAGATACTGGGTGCACCAGGAAAGAAATACCTGAGCGTTGCAGCTTGTAACTGGCTAAGGTGCAGCCAGAGAAGGTGACAAGCGATAGAAGCACTGACGAGCTGTCAGGCAAGATACTGAAGCCCTTTGTTGACTGCACTATTAAATGTTCACACAGGAGCCTAGAGCATGTGAAGACAGTTTGAGGTAGCTTAGCTGGTTGGGTCTAGCAAAGAGGACACTGAAGAATGATCTAATAGATGTCTGTAACATCTGTTCATTTAACTGCAAAGATAACAGCCAAGTTCTTCTTGGTAGAGCTATACAGGGACAACAGTCACAAATTGGAAAACTCAATCTAGGTAGTAGGAAAACAAATTTCCACCAGCAGCGTGGTATGGCACTGGAACAGGTAGCCAATGAAACTGTTGAAATATCATCCCTGGAGGCCTTCAAGAGTTGGCTAGAAAGAGGCACAGCTGACTTGATCTAGTGCTGGTAATAGATGTGCCTGAAGTCAAAGTCTGAACTATAGACCTCCAGACGACTGCTTTCACCAACAGTTTTCAAACTTCATCAAATACAGCAGAGCACAGAACTACGTGCTGGTAGAGGAAAACAGCAGAAGCAGAGCACCACAAACCTTGCATAACACTAGCACTTTGACACAGACCATTTATCAAGTTACACACACCAGCCTGGGCGGAGGTATAGGTGTGAGCAAATCATTTGGTGAAGATTTTTCCCACACACACTATTGCCCCTCTTTCTACTTACAGAATATCGAGTTCCTACTGATGGGGTACAGACTGCTCACTAGCCCATATGACTTGCTAGCTGAAAATAATTTTTTGAAATAGTCAGTGTACTCTTCATACAAGTTCTGTATTCAGAGGCTTTCACTGACCTTTACTAGGCAGTAGTGAAATTCAGAGTTCTGACTCAAAGCCCTCTAACTACCATTTTAAAAATTAATAAAAAATATCCACAAACAGACTTTGGATTGCGTGTAAGTATTTCATTTCCAAGAAGCTCTTAGGTATATTTGTCAGGGAGCCAATTTTTAGCAGTTTAATCTCCTGCTTAAGAGAATTTGAAAAGGTATAAGTGGGAGTTAGATCCTCATTTTGCCTTTGTGGATTTTGAAGGAGAAAAAATAACTAAAAATAAATAAATAAATCAAGTCTCTCTCATGTAAAGCAGACTTACAAACTAACCAACCTTTGGGATTCCCCACCCTCCCCCTCAAGAATCCTAAGTTTTGCTTTTGCCACCACTTGGCTTGATTTCATACAAAGCTGGGATAATTTAGAACCCAATTCAGCAAAACAAACTTTCAGCCAAGAATATTCCTTAAAAGTTTTTTTTTTTTAGATCCTTTATCATGCAGATAATTTTAGCAAGTTTAATGTTGCATTCATGTGCTCATGGAATCTACAGGCAAGCAATACGCAGAAAGTACCATCATACCTTGCTGCCTCTCAGTCTCAATGCTGAACTTAATTTTTATCTGTAAAAACGATTGCATTGCTGAAGCAACTATAAGCCATTGCCTATTAACTGTTAATGGTAAACCAGGTAAACCACTTTGGAGGGTTTGAGGAAGCAAATATAAGCGAGCAGCTCTGCACAGATGTTTATGCCTTTATTCAAAATAGAGATACCATTCAACTTTTCTCTCTTCTTACCCCCTATTCCTATAGCCTGACCATCTCAGCATTTGCTTATATTTTGTTGGTATTTTTTTCTGGTAAAACAAACAAACAAAAACCCCACAACTATTTTTTATTTGAAATATCTTTTGCAGCTATGAGTTCAAGAATAAATTTTCCTTGATAAAAGTCTGCTTTTGTAAATGTCCATGGATCTGTTCTACAGCCCATCTGAATTAAATCCATTCATAAGATATGGAGACCCACTGAAGACATGAACATCAGCTGTCAGGGGAATACATCATGCAGTACAGTGAAGTAAAGATTATTCATAGCCTAAAAAGGACACAGAGAGCTTTACTGAGCTCGTGGAATTGAATGAGAGGGCCCACCCTTCTATGTTTCTTCTCCTCTAGAAGGTTGAGGTGATGAATCCAATTAACAAAAGCGTCTTTCCCAGAAATAGAATGTGAGTGCTCTGGTTCAGAGGGAACAGAGGCTCAGGAAGTATTTGTGGAGCTGAGTATTTTATCTGTAGCAGTATTTCCCTTGAGCAGTGACTCTCATTTCTCTGAGAACCCCTCGTTCAGCACCCTTGGGTCTACCCGAAAGATCCTGAGTGGAATGAAACCGATGTTGTTCTTGATCCAAAACCAGATAAAGTGCTCCCCAGAAGGGGACTCAATTAAATAAACTCACTTCTTAACAATGAATCCAGAAATGTTCCAGTTTGGCAGACATGTATCAACTCACAAGAAACATTTTGCCTTTTCCTTTCCAGTTGCAGCCTTTTGCTCTACACTTAACAGCACAGAGCAGACTCCTTAGAGCACTTCAACACAGACCCAGCAACATTAAGACAAAACACCGCTATGGTGCCTTAGTCCTACACCGGTCTGGCCTTCGGTGCCCAGGCCAAAAAAAAAAAAAAAAAAAGACGCACAGAGCCTTTTCTTGCCTTGGGGTTAAACCACAACACCCATGTCTTACAGCAGCACTTCCCTTCCCTCTCACCCCGCTCCACCCCCAAACACTGAGGCTAAGAGAAGCAGGCTGGTTACTCAACTATTCCACTTGCTAAGGGCACCCCAGATAGCATAAGGGCCCCAAATCAGCTCCTAAGGAGGTGACTTAAACATGCTTCAGCATTCCTTTAGTCCTAGAGCCTGGGAGAAGGCAGGGTACTGGAATAGCCCATGTTTGTTAGTACAAAGAAAAAATGTTGGAGTTCCTACGTGGAACAAGGCTTCACTCTGCCATGTTTTAAGGGCAAGCCATTGCACTCTTCAGTTCCTCCTGCAGTCTCTGTCTGCAGTTGGTGCTTACCATTCCCAACCCCACACTTTCTGAGGAATAAAAGGAACATCTGCAAACTTGCCAAAGCCCTAAAACAGAGTTACCTATTGGTTCAGGTCAGATGCTCTCTCACTCTCCCTAAGTTCCTTTTCCTGTTGTTATAAAGTACTACTACAGACACAAAACACTTTTACATGGATTGCCATAGACAATAAGAAATAAAGCCTCGGAAGAAAAGAATAACTGTTTATTGCTATGGGTACATTTTAAGATCGTTAGTTAGGAAAAGAATATGCTTCTTCATTTACATGGACCAAGCTCATAGGAAGATGTAAGTTAAAAAGATACAGATGGCTAACAGAAGAACCAGTGTTTTAGGCTAACTTGTCAGCAGACCCGCTAGTGTGGCCCCACTGACTTTAACAAAGAAAATCTTGATACTACAAAGCACGGTTACCTCCTCCAGGGGAAAGGATTACAGTTAGAAGTGCAAAGACAGAAGGGAACAGCAAGTTAGTCTTGAAAAGGAAAAAAAAAAAAAAAAGGAGGGAGGACACTACTTCCCAGCTGGTATGAACTGGTGCAGCTGCACTGACTTCAGGTGCTCAGCAGAGCAGTGTGCTACATAATCTGGCCTGCAGACTAGAGTTATGAAGAATGGTCTCACCTGCCCTATTTGCTTCAAATAGCTACTGTTAAAAAAAGTTATGCTGGACACTGGTTAGTAGCCTGTTCCTGGAGCCCCAGCTCTTTGGGTTGGTTGCATGGTTTAAGTGCCATAGGGCACACTGAGCACAGGGAGAGTTGCCACTTATAGAGCTGAGCATGGGCCTTTTCACCAGTGCCCTCCTTCCATTTCCCTACTAGCACAGCCTATTCTGGCACGTGCATCAAGATTTCGCAGCCATTTCAAGTGGGGGGCAGTGGAAAGGAGATGCAGTGGAGAACCTCACAGAGAGGAAGTGCAGGAGTAACAGAGCACGTTAATTTTCTGTGGGAGAAACGTAGCCCTTTTGGAGGGCACACAGCCAGCCTGCATGTGGCTCTCCTCTGCCTTGCCTTGTGTGAACTGAGCTGCAATTAACAGCTCAGCCCCACAACCGCAGTTAATTCCTTCACTGGGTCTTTTTTTCCTCTTTTTCCATTCTTTCCCGGGTCTCCACCTCAGTGGCCAGCAGAGCTGGTCCTGCCGCTGCTGTATGGGCTGAAGCCCGACCAGCGAATACCCCTAGCTTTGCCACACAGACCCCTTCTCCAGGGGAGAGTGGAGGATGGAAAGGAGACGCCTCCAGCAGCCAGGCACAGCAAGGACGGTGCCAGGTGGCCGAGCCTGGCCCGGACGCCTAGAGCTCCAGCACGGGGACTTGCTTTTACCCTGCCTCTCTGAGCGGCAGGCAAGGAGAGGGGGCGAGGGACCGGCGCCGGACGAGCCCCCGGGAGGGGACACGGGAGCGGAGCGGAGCGCGCCTCGCAGCGGGGCGGGAGGCAGGGAGCGCCGGGGAGCAGCGGCCGGGGCCCGGGGGTGGGGGCCGCTCCCCGAGCCCTGACGTAGAAACTAAGCGGGGCTGCCCGCCCCGGCTTCTTAAGGAGAGCGGCGGCGGCGGCGAGCGCCCTGCCCTGCCCGGCCCGCCCCGCACGCCGCAGCGCCGAGGTAAGGGACGAGGGCCGGAGGGGGGGAACGGGCAGGGGAGCCCCTGGGGCCGGCCGCGGCGGGGAGCGGGCGGTGAACTTTTGGGGTTGGCGCTGCGCTCGTTAGGGGAGGAGGGATGTTGGGGGGTCCAACAGCGGGGAGGAAAAAGAGCCGGAGCCACGAGGTGCAAATAACACGCGCACACACACGAGAACTTCAGTTTATGGGGGGACTGACCCTGAGAACTGGTGTGTGAGGGGTGGGATTCGATGGAAGCGCTCACCACGAGCACCAGTAGGGCAATAACGCAAGCCGAGATTTCCTGGGCATTCCCCCGGCTCTTGGCCGCTGAAACAAAGCCCGTGGCTTGCAGAAGGCTGAAGCGAAGTGTTCCCCGTGTTCAAGCAGATTGTAAGGACCAGGAGTCGTGGCTGCTGGCCCCGAGCAGTGCCTGAAGCAGGACAGTCTCTTATTAATGCCTCGACAGCAGCAGCTCCTCCAGCCACCCCTCTGACAGGTCCGGAATCCCTCCTCCCTGTCTTACAGAGTTTTGTAACTTAGGGAGTTTCCAAAAGGGGACTGGGGAAGCAGAGAAAGTAAAGCGACTAGTTCAGCTGTTAACCAGAGGAAAACAAATAACCCCTACCCAAGTGGCAGAACCCTCCTTAAACCCCAGTTTTAGTAAGACTCCTTAGTTCAAACTATTTGTTTGGGTTCCCTCCCACCCCTATGATCCTCTACCTGAGAGTGCCAGGTTATTTTGAAGACTTTAAGCTTGCTGAACAAAGTTAGTTACACCCCTTGAAAGAGTCAAGGTAAGCAGATGTTGGTGCACAGTGCCCAGCATCTATGCACAGGCACCTGCTGCCCAGAGTTGGGCTGTGATGCACCAGGCAGGAGGAACGGGGCAGTGACCCACAGGAGGGCTTCAGCTTCGCCTCTCAGAGAGCAATCAAAGCCTGCCTTCAGCAGCAGGGTACAGAAGAACATTTCTGGAGATCCTGGTAGCAGCACGAGGACAGCCCCATTGCTACCACCGCTGCCATGAGCGACAGCCCAGTAGGCAGAGCAGCGTGGGAAGTGTGTGCTGTCCCCCTTGATTAAATGTGAGGCTCAGATCCGAGGCTGTCAAGCCAACATTCCTCATGGGATTCTAATTCAGACTGAATATAGACTTTACTCTCCAACTGCTTTACAGTCAAAAGCCTCCAAAATGTTCCTAAAACTTGACCATGTAGCCACATAGGGGGCCAGATAAGAATATCACTGTGAGGACTAAAATCCCTAAAAAGTTTTTTAGAACTGCAATGAAACACACTCGTAAAAGCAGCCTAGCGCTCCCTGGTCTCACACACTGGCTGTGGCTGGGCTGTATTTCACACAGTACCTCTGCACACACACCTCCTCCTGCCTTTGACATTTTTCATCACATAGAGACATTGCTTTTGCTCCTGATGAGCACTCATGGAGGAGGCTTTCTACATGAAGAGCCAGTTGCTTATTAAGATAGTCTAATTAAGAGAGGTAGCTTCTTCCTCAAAAAGAGGACACACACACACAAAACAACCACAACACGTGTGCTGAGCTGTTGCTTTTTAAACAGAGTTGTTTGTCCTAAAAGCTCATTTTGGATGTCTCTGATTTCTACAAATGGGAGGTTCTCCACACACCATGATCTAGACTAAAAATAAACTCCCAAACTGTTCCACATCAGAAAGGCGTATCGGAAATATACTGCAAACACTAGAAAATACACAACATGTACTAGAAATGAAGTCTGATGGAGGCAACTGAGCCTTTCTGTCCCCCAAAGGTTATTGTTCTCCACATTTCTCCCTCTGCAGCTACTTATCAAGATTCACAATGTTAACGTAACAGCTACCTCTGATAAGCATCCATACATTTATATACAGCATGTATATATGCATGTACAATAGAGGTGTTACGCTGTGGCTTTGTTATGCTTCTTTTCAGAATTGTTCTGCATTTTAGCAGGTAAAACACTCCTGGTAAATGGATGATTTTACAAGCTACCATTAATTTATTAGAACACACTTTCAACAAATAGTTTTCTCTTTGCTGCCTGGGAGTATGCAGAGTATTTTAAAGGGCTCATAAAAATTGGGGAAAAGCAAGACTTTCAAAAGGCTTAAATTTTCTGTAAGAAAAAAAAAAAAATCTTTACTGGAAAAGTTCAAGAATCTGCAAATCAAAAAAGGCCAAAAACTTTCAATATGAACTTCCAGATAAAGAAATACATCATATGGGTCTGAGGATGATTAACAATTTTAACACACTCTTCTGCTGCACAGGATAATGCAATTCCACTGTATTTATATTCACACACACACAAAAAAAAAAAAAAAAAAAAAAAAAAAAAGGATTTTTAAACAACAGCGAAACAAATACCATCATCTAGTGCCTTCTACATAATGTAAGATGCTAGGGTTCTGTTCCTGCACCTAACAGCGATGCAGGGATGCAGGAACAGTTTTTCAGCTTATATTGGTTTTGTTATGTTTCAGTAACACAATGGATCTTGGTAACAGAGGGAGGAGAATCCACTACAACATGAGGCTCACCTGCTCTCTGCTAATCATGGGAGTGTTCTGTGTGACACCTTTCCTCTGCCATAGCCAAATTGACCCACTGGCTCTAGGGCGAGCAGACCCTCAATGCTGGGAATCCTCCTCAGCGGTCTTACTGGAAATGAGGAAGCCTCGTATTTCTGACTCTGTTAGTGGCTTTTGGGACTTCATGATCTTCCTGAAATCATCAGAGAACTTGAAACATGGGGCTCTGTTCTGGGACCTGGCTCAGCTCTTCTGGGATATTTATGTGGACTGTGTGCTTTCCAGAACCCACGGTCTAGGAAGAAGACAGCTTGCAGAAGCTGAACAGAAGATTACTACTCTACATTCCCAGTACACAAGGAGAAACCAAGGTTACTACTTGTTTAATACACATCTCATAGGCAATAGTGTCTAGTAGGAAAGGAAGGAGGCACAGGCTTATTGTACTATGTGTAACAACATTGAAAGTCAGTGCCACACAGTCCAGTACAGAACTCACGTTAATGCGCAAGGTGACTCTTGTTAATATTCAAAATTTGACCTCCAAATAACATGAACTCTAATGACAGCTTTTAAGTCTTATTTTGGGGGTGGGCTTGGAGATGGAGGGCAGGAGAGGCAGCAGGAGTAGAAAGATAAACACAGGAAGATTCAAACAAACATGACAGCTCAGCAGCTGAACATACAAAAGATATTCTTCAACACTAACAGTTAACCGCTGTTGTGCCATGGACAGGTTAGTTCCAAATTCTCCATTCCGAGGACTGAATTAACCCAGGAACAGTCACACCAGTGCTGCAGGGGAGAGTGGCACTCTTTTAGCAGAAGAGTAAGGATACGTTTAATTGTCATCTGGTAGTCAACCACTAGATGGTTCCTAGTTCTGTTAACTTACTCCAACACACAAACAAACAAAGTACTCAGGTGCAAACATGGTCAGCTACAGATTCAGGAAGAACAGGATCTATGAAACTAAGTGCTGCAGTTCCCTTCCAGGTTCCCTGCCCCAGAGCAGAATACATAGGCTTAAAGCATCCCCACATGCAGTAAGGTGAGAGCTGGTACTTCACAGTAGGATGTACAAAAGGTAGCATGTCACTTAGCCTCCCCATTCCCAGCAGGAAGATATAGCATAGCTTTTCCTAAACCTTAGTCTTCTCCAAGGCTTCAGTCCTAACCCTGCTACCAGTAATGCATCCTTCCCTAGAAAATATCCTATCTCAAAAAGAGGCAAGTGCTATGCTTTGATGGAAGGATAGGAGTGCTGCTGCTATCACCAACAGTTTAGTGCATAGGGCTTATGGACAAAAGGTAGAACTGCCTTTCCGCTTAAAAGGATTCAGACCCTTATCTCTACTTCCTAGATAAGAGCTTTAGTTATTAGGATTTGGGGGACAGTGTCTATGGAATATTGAAGAACCTTTCTGGGAAGTTACCCATTAGGGTGTCTCTGAAGAAGGGACATGAACTCAGGATTTGTCTGCCCCGGGGACTTTGTATCATTGGCCAGTCCAGCTATATATATACCCATATATACCTGATTTTTTGCGTACGTTGGAAGACAGGACTCAATAGGAAGGATTAAGAGGTCCTTACACCCATTCTCTGCAGGGTATTTTAGCCATTAAGCTAGGAGTTGCACTTGAATCAATCTCCCAGACTGAAAAGGAACTCATGCAGTGACAGATTCTAAACTGAACAAACCACCCCAGATGCATTTTTAAATGGCCTTAGATATCACAAATGCAATAAACTGCTCAGCCTTGACCAGGCTAATGCACTTCTGGGTGCAAGCAGAACACAGCTTTACACACACAGGCCAGAAGTAATATCAAAAACTAAAAGGACCACCACGCTAAAGCTCCAGATGCTTTTCTTCACCCCCCGCCACCCCTCCCCAAAGAATATATCTTCAAATGTTGCTGCCTAAATTCCCTCTAAGCCTTTTGTTTGCAACTAGTTCTTAACATCCATATCACACAGTGATTTTCCTAAACAAACAACTTCTCTTCAAGGCTAACAGTCAAGATTAAGAGTCACAACATGATGTGTTTCGAAGTACCTTTTTTTTTTGTTTTGTGATTAATACTGACTTTTGTTTACTCCTACACACAGAGATTTTAAGACACTACTACTTATTCTCACTTTAAGAGAAACAAGGATTTCCAATCCCCCCTTCCCACACACACACTCTTTTACATCCATTTGGTGACTTGCAATCAGCTCATCTGGTTTCTCTGTACCTTTGATTAACATCAGTTGGTAGCAGGCAGCTTATAGCAGTGACAGACTACACTTTATTTCTCGGAGGAACTATGTAACCTCCTATCCAAGTCTCCCAGTTTAACAAAGCCAGCTGCTAAATCTTTGTAACCCTTGACCTTACTGCCTTGTTTAGTCAGTAAAAGCAGAAATCAATTGGTAATAGTAGCAGATAGAAATCACATCCTAGCAGATAATGAGGAATTTGATTACTGCTCCTTAAGCATAAAGAGACATACAAGTTTGTTTTCTTAGTCCAAAGAGAAACATTAACAGCATTTAAATGACCTGATATTCTATTCCTATTCCACATCTACACGAGCAGGTACAAATAGCTTTCAGTAGGCTTGTTTTAAAGGAGTCAAACAGTAAATCAATTTTTTTTTTCCCTTTATATTGTGACTTTTACAAATGCTCATAACATCTTTATTTCAAGTTTTTCTTTCTTCTTAAGTATTTACAACAATTGCAATTTTTTTTGAATGTCAAGATGTCATGAATCAGGAGTGATCTATAAGCTGTATTCACTGCAGTTCCGTAAGCATACTGAATAGAAAAATCAAGATGGACCTGGACATGGCACATAATAATAATACTTTAAAAGCAGTATTTATTACAACAGTATCAGGTTTCAGAACTAAGGGATAAATCCCATGAGGTCATTGTGATAACCAAGTAGCAGAAACTGCACTTGTCTAAGAAAAATGTAAAAACCTTCCAAGCCAAAAACAACCAAACCAACCAACCAACCAAAAAGCAATAAAAAACAGTAGTCCTTAGTAAAGCTTCTAGGTAGTACTGAACAGAACTATCCCGTCACACTGAAGAAACACCTCCAACAGTTCCCCCAGACTTGGCATTTTAAGGAAACAAGGTTGTCTGACTGTACACAAAAACAGCAGTAGAAGTATCTGAGGTCCAGGCTTATAGCTTTAAACACTGTTTTCTGAATCAATATAGTCCTGCGAGACTCCTGATTATAGTTACCAACAGGTCTGAAGATATTCTTCAAGCTCTACACAATCCATGAAAAACAACAAAATCAGAACTGTTATACAAGTTACTTGACAAACTGCTTCCATCCACTAACACCACACTTAACCTAGCAGTATAACAACATGTTTAATCCCCTAGACAGCCTACAGAGAAGCACTAGTCAGCTTTAGATTGAGACAAGTGGGGAAAACTCCTTTACAGTTACCTGACCAAAGCATCTTTAGTCATCCATTCATTCCTTCCCCCTACCAGAACTTAAACACTGTGAAAAAGCAGGTTTCAAAAAAGCACTTCTAACAGATCACAACAGAGTAATCAGATGCATCATAAATGTAACAACTCTAAATGAGCCAAAATAAGACTTAAACACAAGAAAAACATAACTTTTGTACTCACAGCAAATCTTCCTGAACAGTAATTGTAGAAGGTCCTCCTCCAGAAGACACATACCACAACCCTAGCAATAGTGTTTGAAGAATACAAATACAAAAAGCCTTCTACCTCCTTTCTACCTCTCCTCTCCTCCCCCAGCAGTCTGCCCTCTAAGAGTGCTAACAGCTGTGCACTCCTCCCCTCACAGGTGCAGGAACTGGGTTCAGATCAGTTATTGCATTTGGTCCAGCTGCCAGGGATAAGACACAACTTGCTGTCCCAGTTCTGCCAGGGCTGCAGGGTGCTAAGTGGGGCAAAGGCTGCTGTATAAAGCTTTTTTTTTTTAGCTTGGTAATTAAATGTACACTGTGTTAAAATGTTAATTTTTGAGAAGAGGAATTGCTAAGAAAATATACCGTAGAGTTCCTCAAGGAAATACCCAACATGCTGCTAAATGGTTTGGGAGATCTCATTCACTGTGCAAAGACAATGATAAGCAACTAAGTCTGTAAGACTGAGCAGACTCTGACAGACAAATGTTCTGACCCCACTAATTACACGTGGAAAAGTTTTATAGGAAGGCTGAAGGAAAAGGTCTGTGATGGGGCAAAAGACTAGAGTATTTGTCAATGAAACGCAACCTGCAAATGGAAGGGCATAGCTTATCATCAAAACAAGAGGTCTGGGGCCGTGACAGACATTTACTGCTGAGAAAATAGGGACAGTAGCAGCTAAAGATGGGGGAAGCACAAATGTGGGAAACTGAGACTCTGCCATTTTTAAATTGTTTACTTATATGTGTTTTCATGTCACTTTTCAGGGACGTTTTCTCATATTCAGAGGTCACCAGTTCTGAAGAAGAAAGACATGTTTGAAGATTTAATAAATATACACATGCATAAGAGTAGATCTACGTTACTTGGAAGATTCATGGGAGAGCTAGGGAAAAAGAGGAAATGATAGATCTACTTCAGAATCTCAATCTGTAGATTTTTTTGAACTGTTTCTTTAGGATTTTTGCATTTTAATCCTCAGTGATGTTAATTTATATAGTTGTAGCCATTCTTCCACCACGAGCACTGTATTTCTGATTAACTTTGTGTGTTTATTTGTTATTTTTTGTTTTTCTTTTTTTTTTTTTTTTTTACACTGCCTATGAATTTAGTCTCTCTAATAAACTGCATGGTTTATAAGCAGTTGCCTACTTTAATCTGTATGTATATCAGTCTTTTTGTAATGCACGTGACCTACTCAAACCATTATCTTTTGGGTGCCCAAATAGGAAGCAAATGATCCTCCAATAACATATAGACCAACAGAGCAGGAAGTTGCCAAAAACTTCCACCAGCTCCAGGACAGGATTTGAGCTGAGGTGGTGATGTTTTACTGAGTGCACAGTTATATACACATGCAAATCAAGTGCTGCAGAAAGACACCATCCTGTTAAAGTAGTATGTATTTTTAAATTAAAAATATCTTTAAAAAATCCTTTCAGTTTACCAGCAAAAATACAAATGTTAACAGGTGTTACCAGCTCCTCTATTTTCACAAAACCTCTTTATGGTATTTCCCCCAGATTTTTATTTATAAAAGTGCTTCTTAAAATGCAATCAAATTATGTAATCAAAAGAATTCTCATACACAACTTGAATTTGCTCCTTTTTTAGTTTGCAAGATCTTTTTGGCCAAGTTTCCTCTGACTGTTATTGATAACTCTAATAGGCAATTTGATATAAACCAAATGCAACAAAACTTTGGGCATGTAACATTTGATGCTTTGATGAATTACTTTCATTGCCTGGCCAGATGAACACAAACACAAAATTCAGCTTTCCAGGGCAAGTCCATTTAGTTGCTCATTCAAAGTTTCTTTCCTTGAGCATGTGGCAATTTATTTACTTGTTTAGTTTCAAATTGTCCAAAGAAAACCTCATTTGCAGAAGCATTTTGGGCATTCAGCATCTTGCAGAAATAGGTTTGAGTAGTAAAATGGTTAAATGAAATCTTGAAACGGTTACTGGGCCTGAACAAAACAAAACTTAAACATAGTTCCATTGGATGAAATCCTGATCTAATGAAAGCAGATGGCAAACCTCAAGAAGCCTATCAACTTCAATGTAATTGAATTTGTGCTTAAAGTTAAGCATGCAACAAACCATTTAAACGTTGAAATGAGGGAACATGTTCAGAGCAAGGAACACTAAAGCAGTATGAGTACAGGAGCACATCCCTGCCTGCAGCCACTGCCTGCAAGAGTGTTCGGCTACCATGTGGGAGGGAGGCAAGAGCACGGTTACAAGAGATCTGATCACTCTTGTTCTACTGTTGTTAATTATCTAAATTATATTAATATATCTAAAAGCCCCATTATGCACAGCTTTGTATTAACATTAGGGAGAGTCTTCACCCACAGTCCTTATAGCTACTAAGAAAAACAACAAAGTATGATAGGGGCTGGATGCCAGTCATGTAGGATTGGTATTGTACAAAAGGATGTTATCACTTCCCATATGCTCTCAAACTCTACATAACATAAAAACAGAACCTGAACAACTACTGTTAGACTCTTTCACAGAGCCCTTCAGGAAGAGGCTAGTGCTTCCAATCTTGATATCCTCCTCCTACAAGAGCAGGATCCCTAGAAAAGGGCTGCTGGCAGCCTTCTTCCTTCTGTCAGATAGCAGCAGAAATGGAGAAAGACCACTGCTGGCCAAGCTTATGTTTACCTTAAACAAATTCACAATACTGCTCTGCTTCAGCAAGTTCCCTAATTAACAGGCCGTAGCGTCATTTGGCCTTTGAGGGAAGGGGCAGGGAAGGATTAGTATGTGGAGGAAAGACTAGGAAAACAGATGAATCTTTAGCATAGGCCACCCTATGGAGAACGTTTGGAAATTGCTGATGTAAAGGAGACAACCTGTTGTTTTTAATTGTGCTGAAATAAAAAAGGGGATGCAATTGTATGTAAACCTGCATGTGATAAAATTCCTAAAGGAACTCTTACCTCACATATTTTCTTCTCTCTGAAGGACTTGGAGCTAAAATTGTTTTATAACATAGGTCTTACTTATTTTTATTCAGGTCTTAACAGTTTGGCATAAAAACACAACCAGCTGATGCTGTTTGCTACTGATACACTCATTATAAACTGGGGCTTTCTAGGGTGGCTGTGTTAAGAAAAAGCAAGTGCTCTCAGTATGAGATGCAAGAAAGTTTGCTGTACAGTCTCAAAAGAATAATTCAAAATTGTCCTGTGGTTAAAGATGGGTTATTGTCTCCTATCAATCTCCCCTGTGAACTCCGTTGCAGAAATTAGGGTGAGCCAGGATTGTTTTTGCAGGTACTGCTCTTTGGTTGCTGTTTCTCAGTCTGAGTGTGACAGGAGAAGGATGGGATGAACGTTTCTGACTGAGATTGCTTCACTGTCAGCTGGACCAAGTGACAACAAAATAAAGGTCTCGAGTCTTTGCCCCTTTCATCTTACAGAAAACTAGCAGCTAAATAGCTGCTTATTGATGTGAGAAGACATGTCCCTGAGCCTTTACCTGCTGCCATGAAATAACAGTTAAATACTAAGAGGTTCAGGCATATCTATCTATAAGCATTTGTGTTCCATACCTGTCCCATACTGCATCTGACCAAACCAGTATTTGTCATCTGTCACTGCTTCCAATCAATTTTAATTCAGATGCTCCTACTCCGAAGGGTATTCAAAGCCTCATCAGAAGCTGCTGCATATCTTCTCATAACCATCAGTTATGTTCCTTGGATCATTGTTTTTATCTCTTGGCACTGGTATATCACAAAATCTCTAAGCTTCTATTTCACACTACATTCTATTCACGTGATAATATGGATATATGCACCTCCTAGCAAATTCATCACTATCTATTTCCTGTTTTCTGGCATCCTTCTCCCTCAGTTATTTCCTTTACCTTTCATCCTCTTCACCCTTCATTTGCTACAGAAAAAACGCTTGTTAGCTTTCAGTTGCATACCACTCTTTGTTGCTGTAATTCTTGGATGTTTGCATCATATGTAATCAAGGGTTTCTGTGATTTAAAGTAGCAGAAAAAAACAGGAATGTTCATAAGCACCACTGCCATAGCATAATGTCTTTCAAGAAGGTGGCTGAGGTGTTACTAAAAGAAAACAATGCCTCTAGCCATTTTAGCAAGAGCCAAACAGTTCCTTTATCTTGGTGAATTTAATTTGTTATGAAAAATATAAGAGAAGGAAAACATGGAATATTAAGTGGTCTGTTGAGCAGCTTTTCTTCAACACTACACTTTCCATCAGCCTTTTTCCTATTGCATTCCCTATTGCATATTATACATGAAGCTAAGCACCAGAATATATAATTTACCTGTTTTTTTTCCCCCCACAGTTTCCAAAAATATTTTGCTTTCACCCAAACTAAATTTGTTTTCTTAGTAATCACAGACAAATTCCTGTAAAAATTAGGAGTCTTCTCTCTCTTGGCAAGCTGGAATAGCTTTAATGACTCAATTAGAATCCTTAAAACATGCAAATTATTCTTGAACTATGAGTGTTTTTGAGCCCACGTGCACATACTCATTCACTATTTTTCGTGCACCTTCTGCAGAACCACGATAGTACAATCTACAATTTCTCTCTCTGAAGTGGTTCTGAATCATTTCCTTTTCTCAGATCTTTAAAATACTTTTGTGCACTATGTTTTCCTTGCTGCCATCATTATGAAGAGATACAGCAGTTCCTGTGAAGTAACTCAACCATGGCACTGTTGAGGAATTCTACTTGGCAAATTTGCCATGAGTTCGTATTGTCTAGTTCATACAAAGAAGTCAAACATCCAATAATAACATACAAATCCCTATCTTCACCCATTATCTCAACCTTCAGAACTGCTGTCTCTAAGACAATATGCAATTGAGGACCCTCTCCATCATTACAGATTATACCAGAGTATCTCACTGAAACCGCTGGTGTTGCACTTCTATAAAACAAGCAGCCAACAAGAAATGATGAAAGGAAAGCAATGAACACCTATTATTTTTCTCCTAAGTAAAATCTAAGTTCTTTCCAAGGCTTTTACTCACCCATCACCATAAGATAGATAACATACGGTAGTATGAATGGATCAAAGCTGTATGAAGTTTCTTTTGTCTGGTACCTTTCTTTCTCTTCAAATCCTAGACTGTTTGCTGCTGAGGCCTAATAGATGCTTTCTTAAATTCAACAAATGCAATCTGCTACCTACAGCCAGTTATCTATTTTCAAACTTCCATATTGTAAGTATATTTTTATATGCGTATATATGCCTGTATATGTGTACAGGCTTGGTAAGTATTTTTAATACTTCTGAAGTTTTAGATTTACAGGGCTAGCAACTAACAAAAAATGACTTCTCACACATTTTTGATGCTGCAGGTAACATATTCCTAATAACCATTCTATACTAAGCATGATATTCTTATTAACAATTCTACACAAATATATATATTAAAAATGTAAAGGCTCCTCTAAAGCAATCAACTTCCTCTAAATGTGCAAACAATGGTTTCCATTAATCATGAATTTATCAGTTTGGACAAATGTGACTATCTAAGTATCAAGTATTGAGAAGTCTGATAGTTAAGAATTTATTCCTTCCTAATGACTAAGAAAAAGTGATAGAAAATACAGCATTGAAATCAACTGACTCAAGCTGTCTCTTATAGAAAAAAAAAATGTTTCTTAAATACAAGCTATTATCAGTTAAATAGCAGTGAGAAAAATAGTAGAGGACAGTTGTGAATGCCAGTGTACCATTAATGAAGACATACTTTTTTTTTTATCAGTTGCCTCTACATCTACTACATACGAACTAGAAAACACTAATAGAAAGGGAACCTTATTCTCTAACACATTTTATGGTTCCTGGTGAAATCAGTAAATGCAGAAATCTGTTATGATTAGTTATTACAGTGCAGTATTTGAGACACTTTGAAGTGTCTGACATGGCTTTAGTTACCTTCGATAGTTCAGAGGAGCTGTAAGGTGAATGCCAGTTTCTGTCACTTCCAAGCTGGCAAAGTTATTTGGTTGATGAGGTCAGAGAAGGATCTGCAAACATGTTCAGCTGCAGAGAAGAAATCCTGCTTCAAAGCTGACTGTTGAGCTGAAAAGAAAGGATTTTATGTGTTTCAGAGCATTTGATTGCTACAAGATACTCTTTATAAATCTCTTATCACAATTCCATATGAACAGCAGCTTTTTCTGTCGCTCTCCTCATTACATCCTCATTATCAAAAGTGAGGCATCATGAGTGTTGAACAAAGCTCTGCTGTAGTAAGACCACTGATTACAAAGGCATTTGGATTGCTGCAATTTTGCCTGGGGCTAAAGTCATTATGTCACAGCACAGGCAACAGAAGAGACCTCCAGTGGCCTTATCAGTATGAGCATGCTCCTTAATTGACTGCTGAGACTGACATCCTCTTACATGCTTTAACTTAACCTGTTTCAAATTACTCAAGCATTAGGGGCTATATTCCACCTTAAAGAGAAGTGTTCCATCCTATAGTATAGCACTGGAGTACTTCTACAATGGCAAAGGTAAGATTCCTCTGAGAGTTAAATTATTTATGAGGGTTTCCTCTGAGGGTCAAATTATTATGAATGAGATTATAAAGTAAACTGGATAAAGGTGAGAAAACATGTCTAGATAACCAGGAGAACTTGTACCTGATTGGGCTTGAAGAGACAATGCATCCTTCAATTTCATCACTAGCTGCTGCAGTTCCACTTCCTCACTGACTTCCTTTTCATCAGGTGGTATCTGTATTGCAGTGGGAGTGAGAACTGTATTCCCCACAATGCCACTGCAGGAGTTTTCCATCAATTCAGGCAGATAAGTTTGATTCTCTTTTGCTTTTTTACGCTGTCCAATCAAAAGTCCGTCACACTGCAGGGTCACTGACTTCACTGGGTCTTCTGAGAATATAAAGTTCATTGTAGCAGGAACCTCAGGTGTCTCTAAAAGCTGCATTCTATTTTCAGAGTTGGGGCGATTCAAAGCTTTCCAGTCCGCACATGTTCTGGAAATGGGATTTATTTCGGCAGGATTTAATCCACCCTGCATTCTCCTTTCCAGAAGGACATGCTGATTTCTTGGCATCATATTCTGATGCAGTGAAAAAGAAGGATGTGTGGTTGACTGTAACATGGTCTACAAAAGACAAAACACAGAAACAACATAAAAATAACTTATGCTTTGGTTGCTGGTAGAGATAAAATAGGTGGGAAAAAATATTTGGAGTCATAATAATAATTATTATTATTTCTTTAATTTCTCACATATTAAAACCAATTCTTTCCACAAATAAAATATTTCTCTGCAGTGAAAAGAAACTTTGAGTTTGGATAATCTATGTGTCCACTTTTTCCACAATTCTGATCTGAGGACATCATATGCTTCAATGCCATTGAAAAGTGGCAATAATAATGTTCAAAGGCTAAATTTGCAGGAAAAATCATCCTAAAATAATTAAACTAAGGAAAAAAAAAAAAAAACAACAACATATTAAACATGTATCAAACATCTCAAACCTTTTAACATTCAAAATTCCAAAATCAGTCTGGTTGTCAGTACCACGATTGTAGTTGGAATTTTCTAGTCAGAACCAGGATGGCAAATACCATTATTGCACGAACACTTAATCTGAGTAACTGGGATGCGCTGGACACCTAACTGCACATGTGCAGCCAGCCCTACATGTTGGGGACAGACCAGTGTCATAGCGTATACAGAGGATGGTATGACACGCCAGGTCACAGTGGACTCCATGTGCTAGTGATATCAAGCTGTGCACTACAGATGTGTCTGGCTTTCCTATATGTTTGATCTGAAAAACACTCTAAAAGTAGCATGGTCAAAAATGCTACAAAATGCTGCAAGTGGCACACACATATGAAATCCCTGTAAAACACAGCCTTTTCAGAACCTTAGAGATTCTTTTAAATTACATTACCTCTTGTTAATTTAAATCAATAAAATATTTTCCATAAGAGGTCTGTATTACATCCCAGTACAAGATAAAAGTTAGAAATGACAGAAAAGTATTTTATTTATTTTGTGTTAATATGGGACTCTAAAGGAACAACCACAATGAAGTATCTAACACTTCTGTTGGAAACCATTTTCTCACTCTTATTGGAAACCCCTGTCATTATTTTAATTGCAGTAGTATCTAAACAACCCAGACACATTTGTCTGGGGTAGGTGCTAGATATATATAGAGTGAGAAGAAAATCCCTGCTGCAATAAGCCTATCTGCTTTCTCTGAAGACAAAAAACGGAGCAGATAAGCAGAGAGTGTATGAAATAGTACCAAGATTTCTGATCTGCAAGAAAAGTAGTAATTAGTGTTCAGTAATTGTCCATAGTTGTAAAGATTTTTCATACATTTATCACTATACCTTTATATCTTGCTTTATTTGCTGCAGCTCCATTTGCAAGTTTTCATGGCTTGCTCTCAAGCTTTGGAGTGTTGTCTCTATTTTGCAGCTTCTGTCTTCCTGGCAGCTGTGAAGAAATTGCACTTTGTCCTTCCATTTATTGAATTTCTTCTTCATGTTCCTTACAGGGACACAGAAGGGTGGGAATTTTGCTGGATCAGATAACCCATTACACACACAAATATACAATCACAGAATAGGGCAAACACTGTAGCACAAACTTTCCTCTTTTACAGTTCAGGAAACAGCTTCTGGCTTAGAGGCCAGTATTTCAAGAATTAGGCTGTATAAACAGAATTATCAAGAACAGGAGTGTTCTAGAGGAAAGATGTGAGCTGAGTGGAAGTGCAGCCAGGAACCATGCCTTGCATCTTAGGGTTTGATGTTTCCCAAAAAGGTGGCTGAAACTGGAAGAGACGTCATAGTAGTCCCTCTAAGAGCAACTATTCTGGCAACTCTTCTTGCAGACCTCTGACCTGAAGACTCTGGTTTCAATGGTCACAGACACAATTACATCCACAGCACATTTGTATATATATACAAAAAAATTAAGGGAAAAGCAAAAGTGACAGAAAAAGGTGAGCATGGTTACAGCTAAGCCCGTACCATAAACAGAAAAGAAAAATGAATGTGAAATGTGTCATATTCTAATAATAAGTATTAAATATCAATATAATATTCTATGTCAAAGGTTTAAACACCAGAAGGGATTTCTGTAGTAATCTAAGCCATAATTTTTTTTGCAGCAGTTAATCTATCAGGCCTGTTACCTCTATTTGCCTTAAATCATATTCTTTATAGAGATATCCTACCTTGATTTAAAAACTTGTAGTGAATTATCAAGTTGACATTATTTAAACTAATAATTACAGTAATGCTGATGAAAGCAAACCAAAATGTTTTGTTTTGCCTGAAATTGTTTTTCCAGTGATCTTCACTTGTGATTTTTGTTGCTGAGCTACTTCATTCATGCCTATTTGACATGAAATTATTTAAAATCTCAACATTTTTCACTGGAACAGTATTGCCCACCAGTCTTCAGTTGTATTATTGCATTTACCTACCTGCTTTCATTGTGAATACTTCTGAGGGAATCATGCATTTTTAACATATCTGCTTCAAAAGAGGCTATTGCCTGTAATAAAAAAGAGAAAAATATCTGTTCGCGATTTTATCAGCAATAAAATTTTATTTTCTAGGCAAATTCTGCTATAGACAGGCATGGTAAATTGGGGAATTGGCCCATTTTACAGATTTACTAAACTTATCAGCTGATTGCAACCAACATACACATTAATGCATTTCTAATGGCTATCAGAAAAGACTGATAAAAAAATTTACTCAATATAGAACAAATTCTTTGTCCTATGGCACATTCTAAGTGTTTTCAGAATTTGTTTTGTTTTCAATCAGAATAAAACCTCATACCTTTGAATTTCTGCAAAATAGAATATTCTGATTTGGAAACAGTCTCTCCCAAGTCACACAACTGCTTTGGAAGAAGGAGATGGAAGGAGACAGACTGGATGCATAAGGGAGAAGAAAAACCTCTGATCTTTGGATTAAAGCAGAAATCTCTGAGTCACACAGGACAGTAGTTCCAGAAGTCAGGGAGAAACTTTCAAAGTAAACTGCCTTAGAGGCATGGTATAAGATGGTCTGGAATCAGGTTTGCCATTTAATTGTAAGACACATAGCTGAGATCTCAGGACCTTCAAAAGCTAACGGAGTCTTTTAAAAGCTACCTTGCGTTGGTCCTACAATCTGCATCTTTTTAAGCAATCTGCACTAACAGATTTATACTCATTTTCGAATATGTTGGAAATCAGTATAAAACTGCTCAAAAAGAATTTTCATCCCAGAGGGAAAATGAACAAGACTGCAATGCATGTGACAGAGTACCGCTACAGTCCTGTCTCAGTGTTTTCCAAAATGGCAAATGCCAGCCATCAAAATGACATGCTTAAGCAATATTTGCCCACCATTGCTACTGCAGATATGTGCTTGCTGGCACTATAGCTCATGCTGGACAGAGTCCTAGAAGACAGTTACTCCAAAGGAGTAGCACAGGAAACTGCCAAGGAAGTGACCTGACACATAAAGGGTAGTTCTCAGTTACTGCATTCTTGGCTTCTGGGAAGAACAGGGTAAGTGGATGACACAAACTGGTTTGAACACAACCCATTGTTCTGTATATTCCAAGTATGCACAGAGCTACCAACCTCTCAAATAAATATAGAAACAAAAAAACTGCTATGTACTTATTTTTATTTACACTATCCTTTCCACTCCTCTAGCATTGTTTCTATGCAGGGAACCTGGAAATAGATTGGTGAAGAGCTTTTATGCATGAGCTATTTTAGTTGGAGTGGACACTACTCTGGGTTAATCCTTAAGAAGGGCCCATTCTGTCCTCTTATATTGCTATGGTGACAAAAAAAAAAAAAGGTCCAAGCCTATTAGGAATTAAGATGTCCTTCCTTGACATTTGCTTGCAGTGGGAGGACATGATGGCATTTTTTGCTGTCAGAATAGAGAGAGGGCTCTAGCTTAGGCAGTCTTTATCATGCTGCTTTAAGACAACTAAAAAAAAAAAGTTAACAGAGCAAATATTCCTACAAATGCTTCTGAAAGTCACGGAAGTCAAGGAGTCTTGTTCACTAAGTTTTCAGATTCCCCATTTTTTTCTATATGTGAGAAATTAACAAAAAGGTGAAGCTGTCCATTCTTTTTCACTGGTCATTAGACATCAGTTAGATAGTTAACATGGTAGGTCTTCCTCCCAGCTTTAGTATTATTACACCTTCATGTTTCACTCACCTGTATTTTTGTCTTGTCTTGCTCTGGCGTCTCACTGTTATTCTTGTGTGTTACAGTTCTGCTTTTAGATACAAGTGTGGGTGACTCCAGGACAGGTCTGTCCACTGGGAGAGACAGGTTTTCAGGGAATGATGAAGTACTGAGTTCTGCAAGGGGACTGTACACCAACAAAGAAGTACGGAGTAGACAAAGGATCAACCTTTACATGGTTTTGGTACCCAGAACAATCAAAATACAGCTAATGCACTGTGTATAGACAGACAGCCTGCTATTGACTAAGAAAAGGGTATGATTTGTCTGTGCCTGCTAGCATATTTTGGCTGAAAGAATGAAATTCCTTAAAAACAAATTCCACTCTTTCAACAGAACTTCAACAGCAGATTCTTCTTTCCACCCATTTAGCATCAGTGCAATTTGCTACTTCTCTTTTTAAGTTCCAATATTAAGAAGGAGCTAAAGATATTACGAAATTCAACTACAAAAGGATAGCAGAGGGCCAGATACCCTGCTGTGCAGGCCATTCTATGCTGGGAAAAGCCCAGATACCTGTCAGTTACACAGTGACACCTATAATGGCAACTCCAAATTCTGTTTTCTCTCATTGACTGCTACCCAAGCATGAGGTAAGAAAAAACCCACAGAATTGCAAAGAAATTGTGACTGCCCACAGAAGAGTTAAATGATATTCAGAACAAAGAGTGAATTTTTGTTGCTGAATACAAGTGGGGATAATTTAACAATGGAAAATATTTTGCATTTCACCACATTCTAAAGAATGAACACTGAAATATTCACAAGAATCGCTGTAACTATCACCCACTGACCTTAGTGTATATAAAAAATTTGGTTTCTAATATTTACCTAGCAGTGTAGCAAAGAGTTTTATAACCAGATTTTTCTCTTCCTTCCCACAAGGATGAAATTAATTTAATTCTTTTAGAGAGGACTGACCTTTTTCCCCTTTTTCAGTCTCACTGAATCCTAATTTGGAGAATATGAGATTCAAGAGAGTTGCTAAGGCTTTATATAGCTAGTAAAGAATTTCCCCCTACATATGTTTTTAGTGCTTATCTCGTATCATTGTTCTCTTCACCTAAATATCAACCAAAAGGCCAGAGCAAGAAAGGAGTAACTATACAGAAAATCATAACAACCTCCAATGCTCATTATTAACTACTATGATCAGTGGAAACACAGTAATGAGTTTACAAATTAACTAAAAGCAGGCAAAACAGAAGTGATCTAAAGGAACGGTAATGGTGATGCAAAAAATCAGCTACTCACTATTGTGAGTAATCCCACAGGACTGCGATTCAGTAGGACTTGAGTAGAATGACATTCACTGAAAACACTGTGGTTCAGATGCAGGAACCATTCAGTCAATTTCCAATGAATTTGTCATGGAGGAGGTGCTTAAAAACCCACTCAGTGACAGGTGCTAAATATTTGCAATACTTGACCTTAGACTGAGCATAAGAAATGGCACAGAGAGAAAGAGATGCTAAAGAAAGGAGGGAAGGAGGACACAAGCATGTTATGTTCTATACGACAACTGGTCATTAGGTTGTCAGCACTGTAATCATGGTTAAGCAACAGAACAATGTGCAGCAATTTCCTATTTATGCTTTCTATTTTTTATGGAAAAATCATGACATGGTCTGTCACAACAAAGTCATTTACTCAAAGGACACAATCAAGCAATATCCTACAACCTGACACTTTATTTAGAGAGTATAGATTCATTGAAAACAGAAACTCACACAATCTTTTTGTGAGCAGGGAACTGTCTCTCCTCTGTTATCTCCAGAGCTCTCCTTCTCTGAGCCTCCTTTCTTCTGCAGTGGTCTTGAAACAGGTTGTTCCTGACAGTGCAGAGAAAGTGCTTTGCACTCGCCTTTGCTGACATCTATTGGAATGAAGGATAAAAGAGAAAGGAGTGAATTTTCAAGCAGGTGCCCAGAAAAAAAAAAAAAGGCACAACCCAAGGCAAAGGCAATACATGTGCAAGCAAAGGTTTGTTCGTTCCACAGCTGAAGCTGCTGTCTGAGCCCTAGAACTGGAGCTGAGGTGGACAATGATGAAGGACCACAGGCAAGATCAGCTCCAATTCTGGTATGTAAGCAAAACACTGTCCAGGATAAATTCAGGCAACCTGAAAATGTTTAATACAAGCTTTTGACAATTACAATGATAAAGTTCAAAGGCACAACAAGAATTCTGTCCAACTAGTACCTAAGTTCTCCTTTCATCAACAGAAATAAATACTTTTACTAATTATAAGAAGTGTTAATGTATACAGCTTTCCGTGTTTCATGTTCTCCTCTTACACAGTGAAAACCATACTTCAATTTGTCACAGCAGTGCCAGGCTCACGTATAGCTATGCTCCGTAGTTGTTTTATGGGAGGACACAAACCAGTTCTGCCCCAGGAGACGATTGGTAACGAACATTGGAAGAGCCCTGACAATTGAACAGGAAAAAAGAAGAAAATACACGCGTCCTAGTTGTTTCTTAATATGGTAATAAAATTACCACAAGGTGTCAGCACAGTAAAGAGAAACAGTGCTGACTTTTCAAATCCCGCCTCAGCAGCCCACTCCCTGGTACAGACAATGTGAAAATTTAACCAGACACAGTCTCCCAGTGATGAAGTCCATCGCTGGAGCAATGAAAGCACAAGTTGCCCCTGTGATGGAGCTCAAGGAGGTGAGCTTACTTGGGCCTATGCTGGCTCTTCATGCTGTCCCCAGCTGACAGGGACAAATGAATCTACAAGTTCTACAATAAAGTTGAAAATGTCTAGAACAAAGGAAGTTTCATGCAGGAGTTAGTACAACTTCAGGATGGATATTAATTTCTGAATGATTCCGCAGTGGCACTGGGAGGAAGGAGCACTGGGACACACTGTAGGACCTTTTCACAGGTGTAAGAAAGTGCTGCAAAAGGCAAATCTGCCATACAGCAGCCTGGGAAGAGGACTTACACTATGACATTTCATGTCTCCATTCAGTTATTTCAGAACAGAACATTCCTAAAGTTAGAAGCCCCCTTTTCTCCTTTCCCTGACTCACTGTTCCCAGATGAATAATACTAATGTCTCATAGGCACCATGGCCGATATATACATAATTTTATAATCAATGTAGTTCAAGAGTCTCTTGCCAAATTGCCCACATAAAGAACCTGAACAGGGCAATGAATCAGTACAATAGGACTCTACCTGCACACAGTGTTCCACAACAGGATGTGACCTCTTATGTGGTTTGCGGAGACAGCCTGTGAAAAAGCAGACTTGGCAAAGGTCAAAATTCAGGCACTTCAAACAGCGATACCTATGAAGGTAAACAGACACAGACACAAACACAGACACAGAATTTCTAGGTTGGAAGAGACCTCAAGATCACCGAGTCCAACCTCTGACCTAACACTAACAAGTCCTCCACTAAACCATATCACTAAGCTCTACATCTAAACGTCTTTTAAAGACCTCCAGGGATGGTGACTCAACCACTTCCCTGGGCAGCCAGTTCCAATGCCTAACAACCCTTTTGGTAAAGAAGTTAAAAGGCTAGGTTATTTCCCTGCAACAGAGAACTTGGTGTAAAAGTAAGATTGACTACTAGAAGTCCAGACCCTTGGTTTCTGAAATGCAGAGAAGCACCTCTGTTTTAAACAAAGACTTTCACCAGCATTCTTTGAATGCAAGAGTTATTTTGCCCAAACGACAACAGACTAATCTCCAGAACCCACTCATGATTTTGATATTATTAATTTGCTCCATTGAAACTCAATCCAAGGAAGAAACACCTGTTCTAGTATAGTTTTTGAGATTGCAGTTACACCTTCATATGTTTCTTATGCACCAATTATCTGTATCCACTGCTCTTATGGAAATATATTACTACATTATTGATGTATGATTTGTGACTATACAAAGAGCTAAAAATGAAAAAAAAAAGACAAAAACAAACAAAAAAACAAACCTAACATTCTAAGCTTACTATTAGCGAGAACAGACTAACGGTAAAATGTTCATTGTTTAATACAGTAGTTATAGCCTGCAGAGTATGCAAACAATAGTAAGAACAATTTATGTGGATGCTAAAGACTACAGTAATTACTGACATACCTGAGGCCTCTAATGGGGAAATTCTTGCAGACTCTGCATCTAACCTGGTGAGAAACTTTCTGAAGCTGATAATCTGTAACATGTAGAGAGCCACAGCAGAAGAGCGGGCTCTGATCTCAGCCAAGACAAGAATTTTTCTTCAACAATTGCTGAATTCAGAACCTGGAAAAAATATACATCTCAACTTCAGCCATTTGCTTGAAAAAAACTGGTGTCTCATCTCAAGTTCCTAATAAAAGCTCTGATATTGCTAGTGTAATGTTTTTCATTCACATAAAATGCTGCTGGGTTTCAAAGGTTTTGGAATAAATGCAAGTCTTCAGTAGTATCTGTAGATATCAATCTCCCTATACTGCAAGACTGATGAACAGCCCTGCTCCTTAAAAATAGGTATTGGTGTATGACACATGGTAATACACTTGCAATTTTAATTTACCAGCAACATTCAAAGTCATTTCTCAGGACATCAGAATTTCACTCACCCCTTGGAAACAGCTGTGAGTAGCAATTTCCACACAAGACAGAGTGCAGCTTTCTCCCACAATGGCTGGGATCTGCATCAAGAAGAAAGGCTTAGAAACACCTCAATAAAAAACAGATGTTCCTACCATGCTCTGCTGAGATGGTGACAGCACACAGGTGGTGAAGCTTCAATAGAAATGCCACTTTACATACTATTCTGAAGAAAATCTATTCAAATTCATGCCACCAGTGTGCAATTTCAGAGTTCAGCATGTGTCAGAATGATTTACTCCCAGCTCACTTACGCTAATGGATCAACACATTATGTTGCCATACTAGAATACTGAAGGACAGTAGGTTTGAATCTCAGGGGTCATTTTCAGACCCCAGAACTGGTGTTCAGCACCAGTTCAGCTGGAAATAGTTGTATGCTAAGGCATTATTGTGCAACTGCAAGCTATTCTACTGATTAGACACCTAAGTTAGGAGTTGCTTTAGCAACAGCTGCATGCAGCTGTTCCCAGGACCTTTAAGCTCAGGCAAAATGAATGTATAGACATACTGATGCCAGGCATTATTCAGACTAAGAGGAGCTACAGGGTTTTATTCTTTAACCTACTCTGCATAGCAGATCCCTACGTCCACACAGTACCCTACTGACTTCAGTTCCATAACGTTACCAAACACAAAACACATCACCCATGTGTGTTTTTCTCCTGGATTAGAATCCCCCCTACAAGACCTGTTGTCTAATAGCATTGCAGTGGCATTACCTGATTTAAGTCTGTTAGCAGGCTTCTCAGGGCACTACGGGTAATCCAGGACTTCTTCCCATCAGGAACAGCATAAAACTCAAAAAAAGCTGAAAATTACCAGAGGAAAGAAACTAGAATACTAGCAGAACCTGAAGAGTCTTCTAGCTACTCATTCTCAAGCTATCTGCATGATAATTGTGAATTACCAAGTAACCCTCTCAAAAAAGTTATTTCCTTGTCTACCTAACGCAGGCTCTCAATGACTGCTGTAACAACACTTTCCCCTACTGGCAGGGGAAGGAGAAGGAAAGCAAGGAAATTATGGAGATCCCTTATCCATGGCAGCTAAGACTGGTAAGGGTGAAGGAAACACTGAATTCATTTCCATGGCTATAAGAAATACATTTAAACAAGTTTACACAAGATATGCCCTGTTTAAATTTTGAATTGTCAATTCCAAGTAATTTGAAAGGAAATACATAATGTGTAATGGAAGAATATGAGACCAATATGCCACTTGTGGTCCATTTATTCTCTGTTTTGAGCACTTAACTCAGGCAGAAATCTTTGTGCTGCCCATTGCATTGGGCTGCTTTCATCTGTTATGTTTAGCTCTTTAAACATTTTTTGTCTAGTGTTAGAAGGACTCTAAAAAAATCCAGGATCTAATATATAAATATGTTTTCTGTTCTAGTGAAACTTAAAACTAGGGTGTTTCTGTTCATTTTTGATAGGCAAAAAGAAGTTGGCCTTTATTTTTGAGCTCTGCAATCTTAAGCTGTATTATGTCTTTTTTTCTGAGACTGTTTATGCAAAGATGAATATGAACATTAATGAAAAAGTATCCTTCCACATCAGCCCTACAACAACGCAGTTTTGCGTGGCAGAACTATATTCTCTATTAAAGTTAAAAAAAATCAGTGTAGGTTTTCCTCAACATTTGGTATTTTAGGCAGTATATAAAACTGTACACTTCCCACCTCTGTATTTAGCAAGTAGTGTCTCTTGAAAGAGCAATTAAGGCAGCTGCAACAGATCTAGTTTTGATATAACCCATTCCAGATCTAGGAAAATAAAATAAATTACACTATATTCACCAATAATGTGAAAAATGCAATCTCTTAAGAAAAAATATTGCTACATTTGAAGACAACTTCAAATCTCATATCCTTTTGTACGCATATAACTGATGTAGCATTTTTGTGATACTTTATGTCTAGGACCCTTTGTCATTGAACATGACTACAATATTAACTGTTCAAAATACCATGCAATTATAAAACAGACAGTACCTCCTTCAAAGACCTCACATTCCACTTAAGATATAAATTTACTTTTACAATACTTACTTCGCAATACTTTACTTTTACAATACTTTTACTTTCCTTAAAGAAAAAAAATAAATCCTACTCTTCACTTGTGGAAAGCCTTCCCAAATATGAAAGAAAAAGTAGGACTACAATGTGTTTTTTCTACTATATCATCAGCCAGCTTCATTGTGGCCCCAGACCTGCCCTGAGCAACTCTTGGGTTGACTTCCTTTAATTTCATTCCAACTTGATTTAATCACAAGGATATATGCAGGAGAAGGACCTTCATTTGACCATTAAATAATGTAAGTCATAAAGAATAAACTTTATTTTAGAACCCAAGTTTGCAACATAGGCACTAAATGAAAAAAGCTTCTTTATGTGAAGACAAAACATATTAATTGGAAAGTTTCTAGATTTTCAATTATACATTCAGTTTTCCCAGAACTTTCATAAAAGAAAATCCAAGATTAAAGCTATGTAAGACTAAACATTTCCTGGAGAGAAAGCGAATACACACAGAATATTCACTAGGCATTGCTGAAACTTAGTAAAAATGTATCTGTGACAGCTACTCTCAAAACTCATAAAGGTTTTCAATTGTATACCTTATCATACTTTAATAAGCATATAAGTAAACAACCACACAGACATGGAAAAGCTCCCATATACTCTTGACTTGAAAGACTTTCCATTGTTAAGAGTGGAGAACAGCACTCTGCGGAGAAAACACACTTAGAAGAAAAGCATAAGATGCTTTTTCTATCCTATATACATGGCCAAAAAAAAAAAAAAACACCAAAAAACTTGTGAAAAAAGTTCAAAAACACATTATAGCATGAAGAAAATGATACGTTTTCTGTTTTACCAGGAAAACAGAAAAAAAGGATCAAGATCTGCAAAGAACATTCTTGTAAATGATTTCCTTGGGTTCGTACTTACAGCACACCAATTACAAAGCACTCTTGATGATTCTAGCTTGTTTTGAAATACACCCATTTATTCTTAGCCTGTACTCTCATAAGTACAAAAAGTTCTTAACATGGGATCTTAAATATCATGTAATTAATAGTAATTCAAGATAAAGTCCTGCAGACCACTTACATCATACTCACGCTCCCAGTAAAAAAGCTTTACTCTGATGCAGGAGGGAACAAATTTCATCTGTAGTGAATAAACTCAACAATGAACTTAACCTTTTCTTTTAAATCTGATACAGTCATGAACCAAATTTGCCTTTAGTGAACTAATTAATTATTCACAAACAATACATGAGAAAATTACAGTCTAGAAGCTGCTTGCTTATTATTCCCCCCCAAAAAAAGATTTGCCATTTGCAGGAGCAAGCTGATCAGCTTAGTTATGAAACAGGGGTAGTGTTTTGTAACTGGCTGATGAATGTTTTAAGCTGGAGAAAAATGAATAATGAAAAGTGACTGGCAAATTCTTGACTTGTGTATATATAAAGGCAAATATGGGTTATTTTTCAGGAGTGTAAGAAAATACCCTAGCAGCCAAAAGAAGAGCTACTCTTTGTACAAAGCTGCTCACAGAAAGCTAGTATGGGCAGGAAGACATCTGGATTTCCAGGTGTGTCTGGAAACATCTAACCACTGTTCTTCTGTTAAAGCTTTGTGCCTCATCTTCCTATACCTGAACTATTCTCACTATGTGTAACTTAAGCAAAATACCATCAATAAAGGAGAGTTTCACATATAAATGACATAAGAAGAGTAGAAACAGACCTGATCTAGCAGTACTTTGTGATGGATTCATATTTGTGCTTCTTCTCACCTGTCATACATGGCTTTTAGTAGGCTCAATGTGAATTTGGCAGCTCTTGGATCTACCTGGCTGGGTTTTTCTAATCTTGCCCTTTGGAACAGTTCCTTCAGCATTCCAGAGAGCTGCTGCTCTTTCAGAGAAATCTGCTTTTCCCTCTGTCTCTGTTCACTTGACAAGATGTGCTGAATCAGAGAAACATCAAGCAAATCCACTATGAGAAAACAAAGGGAGAAACAAATGAGGATCCCTGCTTCCTCTTGAATGGAAGGTGGACCTTTTTTTTTCTGCCCCAATTAGAAGTGCCTAGTTAAGACAAGTCTGGAAAACGAAATCTAAAACAGTATGTGACATAAAAAGGAAATAAACTGGGAATGGTCTTGCTGGGTTTATTTAAAAGTGTCTGGATGTGATTTTAGAATAGTTAGGAAGAGAAGGGAGATAGCATGCTTAACTGCATCCAAATTATAGAGGAAATGCAACAGCATTGATTGGATTCACTGGCAATGATTGGGAGTTTTCATCAACAGACTGTTTCCAGTGGAAGATTCAAGATATCCATGCATTCTAGCTCAATATAGAATTTATATCCAGTAATTTCAAAACAAGCTAGGTGCCCAGGGCTTTGTTCCACAGCTCTTTGCTTGCACAGAATTCTCACTTCAAACCCAAGGGGTTTTCTGCCTATCATATTTTAGTTTGTTCACATTAATACTTATAATGTTACTCATTAATACTTTCAATATTATAGTATATCCATTATAATACTTATAATGTTATAGTATAAGAATTCTCATTAATATTTTAGTACCTGACAATGCTTTTTGATGATACATGATTATTTCCAATAAATCATGTAAGAATTTGACATTTAACAAGTATAATAATATACAGATAAAGATTCATAATTGCCAGTGATGTCTATGTACCAATGTTGTAGATAGTAACAATAACTCAGTTCTCCAATGCCTTTAGAATTGTAATGTATTTCCACTGACGTTCAAAGGCGGGTAAAAATTGAGCTGTATATGAACTACTATCTGGCTCTTCACTGTTTATAATGCACTTTGAGTTTCCCACGTGGAAAATGAGAGAGCAAAGTAGCATAATAACTTATGGTGACAGCAACACAGAATGTTTACGGATTTCTCTCCCTGTCAAAGTATGAGATCCTCTTCATCTACTAACACTGGCACAGACTTTGTATTGCGTGCAGTTTCAGGGCTGTTCTGTAGACAGAATTCTGAACATCATTGAAAGCCTCTGTAAAAGAAAACACACACATTACAAGAGTGGTTCATGGGAAAAAGGAAAAAAGAAGGAAAATTGACATAATCAAATTTGAACTTAATCAAAACCTACAACACTTTGAAGGAGAACACAACACTTTGAAGGAGAATTCTATTACATTTTGATAAAAATGTCCTTTTTTTTTTTTTTTTTTTTCCAACAGCTTTATTGGGAAATGGTCTTATGATCAGTGACATGATAAGTCAGAAAAATAGTACTGAACACAGAAAGCACATCTGCTTCTTCAGGAATCAAGTCTACTCATGGACCTGAAAAAAGGATATGCACTATGCATACTTTTAGCCAAGATCATACTGAAATAATATTTCTAGGCAAAACACCTTCTTGATCAGAGTAGAGATGCTTTTTCTACAAGGAACAGTTTACCAGTCTGCACAGCAGGGTTATTGTTTGGGATGCATATTGTTTCAAGACTTAAACAAATTTTCTGTCAAGATCAACATCTGGGACTCTCTCAGAAGATAAACAATTTACCAGAGCAACTGGCTTTTGACATCTCTGCTTAGTAATTCCACTCAAGCTGCTTGACTAAATCCTATGCCCTTAAATGACTTCAGCTCATTCCTTTCACATCAATAAAGCATGTTTTTCTGAGTGGGAAGTAAGAGCTTCAGAATTTGATCTATAACTGCTACTTTACACGCATACTCAGAACTTTATGACAGGAAAAACAAGGCTTGATCACAGTAGCTTTAGTAACTACAACGGGACTTAGTCCTGGCCTCAGAGGCTTTCTTGCTGTAGTTCAGGGAGGAAGAGTTACTCACAATTGATAAAGATCAAAGATAAATAACAAATATGCACAATTGAGTAGAAATAATTTACAAAACTCTCTACCTGTTTAGTCTGGAAATGGTCCAATCTGTGTGCAATGGCTCTCCACAAATGTGCCAGACTAATGTTAATAGCCAGCAAATTATGGGCTCTGCTGTTTCCCAGATGCTGCTTACGATATAGAAATAAGCTCTATCAGCCATACCATCTGTCTACTCCTGCTCTTGTCACATTATGTTTTGTAATATTATTTGGAGATGTAGTATAGCATGTCATACAATGTGAAAAATGAGTTTTTACTTCCATGCAGCATCAGTTCTCTTTCTTCAGTAACCTGATCCAAAGCTTTTTTGAAAGGAACAGACTGACTCCCACAGTTTTCCATAGGCTATGGATTAAGTCCCAAATGCTTATTTTCCTTCTCTAAGAAGGAATACAAATGTTAGAAATGTGCATATGATCCAACTTGAACATCTTCCATGTGCAAGATGACTTTCTAAATGGAGGGAGTCTGTTTTAATAGCCATCTGCTATTCTCTTGCTTTTACTACATCTGTGATTCAAGCTCATCCTTATAGATGATATGTGGCTTCAAAGTAAGGCATTTTGTGCCAGTCAAGCAATAGTTCCAGAATTACCTTGCAAGAGCACATAAGTAAACATCAGGCAAAGAAAAAAAGCTCAAATTAAATCAAAATGTTTTAGGATTATTATTTATATGAGGCTTTTTGGCAGCTCAGAATGACTAAATGCTTTCATTTCTCATAGGGATGGAACTTCCCCCTTGGACAGAAAACTAGCATGCAACTGGTTCTGCAGTGAGTCAGATTTTACCTCAAGACTCATAAATGCCCTTTGTTGAGAAGCTGACAAAAGAATTCCTAAACAAACAGAAAAGAGTGCACTGTTTCTTGGCATTTCCAGCTAGTTACCTGGTCTGTATTTTGCACTACCTGTTATATAGCAGATGAAGTATCACCCAAGATTTTACACTTAAAAAGGGAATGTATAGCTATCCTTCACACCTATTCTAGAACATGTGAAAAAAAACTTATCATAAATTATAAATTTGGAAACATGACCCCTGTGTGCTTGACTATTCCATGAGTCAAGGTGATAATGGCAACGGAAGATGAAAGAACAGATCCAAAACCACAGGCACCACAGCAGTGTATGTCATTTATATGTTATAGCACAGAGATTCCATAAGCGGTATGACTTCTTTACAATTCATTAGTTTCTGTCCAAACAGACACCGAAACATCTCTTGAGAAAAGCTGGGGGGGGGAGAGAGGAGAGAAAAATCCTTACCCTGCAAGTCTGGATCCATTTGAAATGGACAGATGGCATTAGGCATTCTATAATGAAACAAATCAAAGTGTAAAACCACATTATCTAGACAGAGACATATCGAACCATTCACATCAAACCTTTTAATCTGAACAATTTACTGGATGAATTTCAGAGATGAAATTAAACAGAATTACATAAAACAACATAATAGCTTTGGTGCTAGGTGCAGAGAAACTCCAGAAAATTGCATGGTATTTGCTCAGGATAAAGCAGAGGTAATTCCAGTAGCTGCAAAATTGTACGAAAGGGAAAACCGTCCGCAAAGTTTCAAGTTTCAAGTACAGCAGATGAGATCTTTCACTACCTAGGAATCCAGTATTTTCATATAGGATTACTACACAGTCCATAGTGTATAATTTCAGCATAGACAGAACATACCTTTACAATAGACTATTCCCAAGATCCATTGATTACAATTGCTTACAAGTCTATTTTCTAAAATTTTCAAACTTGAAGGGTTAATCTAAAATTTTCAAACTTGAAGGGTTAAGCTGAGCACACATCATTTCTTTCTGAGAAGGAAGCGATAAAGAAATCATAACCATGAATCTACTTCTTTATGCACCTCTGAAAACAAAAGTAATTGTGTCACTGATAATAAAAGAAACAAATTCTTCCCTCAGGCCTTAGGTCATTAACGTTCCAGGCTACATTATATTTTTAAAGATAAAAGTATAAATATGAATTCAGTATAGTAATTCTCAGCTAATATTACAGTTGAAAAACACTAGCTGTAACAGATTTGTTACATGAGACAAAAAAAGGCTTATAGTAAAAAAAAGGGAAATTTGATTAAATAAATAAAAATTAAATAATTGGAAACTATCTGAAACGTAAACAATGATTTTGGTATTAAAACTATACTTACCTGAGCTTTCACTTCATTTTTCCAGTGAGAGTCATTGATCATTTGTCATAAACATTACAGAATACTAGACAATTATCAAGGATAAATATTCAGTCATCTATAATTCTTGGACCATAAAGGTGTTGCTCACCATCTTAATTGGTAAAAGCTGCAACTTTGTCTTTCAGTCTCTAAATAACCTATAAAAAAAGCACCTATAATGTAAGTGTTCAGTGAAAGCCAGGTGTAGCAATCTAAACTCTGCATATTTTCTAAAAGATAGACTTTCAAAGACATCACTTGCCTCTTTCTTCCTCCTTTTGTCTCTTTACCAAAGGCACATAAAATAAAGCAAGAATGTGAAAGTTAAAAATACAGTCTAAACTTAAATAAGAATTCAATTTGCTCACTCTCATGAGAGTAGATCCACTGACTTCACTGAGTTATACAGCATGCGTAATCTATTAATACTTGATGTTGTAAGATGACAAGCTCTCTATCTAGTACAAGGTAATGTTTGCCCTTTTAATTAGCCATAAACACATTGGTACTACAGTATTCAGGATCTCAGAGTTAAACTTCATATATTTTACTGAACTGGTCGTCATTGTGCAACATCACAACATTCGATGTTTTATACCCATGAACCCTGCCTATAAAAAGTTATGAAAGGCATTCTTAACATATATACGATCTACATTTTTATATAGGAAACTCTAGGAAGAGTCCAGATCTTGACTGCAATAGGAATGTTTGGATGAAATCAGCTGAATCTACTCCACCATTAGCATATCTACTTTATAATGAAAGCAATATGAACATAAAAGAACATCTATCTACCAAAATACCACAACTGAACTAACAATACTCACTGATACACTATTTCAGCCAGGGTGCTGTATTTTGTCTACTTTTGCCCTTTATTAATACTTAATAGCACTTCCACAAAACAAAAAAGAATTATAAAATTAATTCAAAGTGTACAGGAAATACATTATACAATTATAAACTCTGATCCCATTAACACAACTATTGTTAAGAGCAGAACAAGAACAGTCTTACTCTTAAAATCCTCTTGGAATGTGCAACAAAAGTAACATGCTTTGATTACTTAGACATATTTTGTTTGTCTATACAGGTCCTCAGAATATGTACCTTAGGAAATAAAATGCATTTTTAAACATACTACGTAATTAAGTTACAAAACAGATGAAGAAAGACAGAAAACTCAACAGACCAATTGACTTATCAAAGAAGCCTTCTTTCGAAATCAGAAAACATACCATCAACATTGGAAATATGCATAAAATAAACTACAATTACATTTGTTTCCTGAGAAGAGTGAAACATCCTATATTGTGTTCAAAGGCTGAAATTGCCATGTCTCCTCTTAAACACAGTAATGGTGCTTACCTTTATCTCAGCTACTTACTAAGGGCCCAGAAGTCAGAGAACACCATCAGAAAAGTCCAGTAGTTTTATAGCACTTAAAAGTTGACTTCAAGACACAGTTCTAAAGGTTTTGCTTTTAAATAAATGTTGTTCACAACAAATGCCTGGCAACAGCCCAGATCAAAGTATCAGGTAATTGTCTAAGCAGTCAAAACAGAGAATGCTAATTAATTAGTAATAAATATCTTGAATTATTAAAGATAAAACTTCTTTGATCTTTGTTTCAAAGCCAATATTTCTTATCATTAAAGTGCAGTATTTCTAAATTGGGGGGTCTTTACTAAGCGTCTCCCAGTTGCTGAGGAACAGTGTTGCTATAGAGACTGAAAAGGAGGTGGAAGCTGGCACACTAATGCAGAGAGCAGTGTGCTATAGCAGTTGGTGCAACAACACAGAGAAGAAATAGTAAGCTCTAGCAATAATGTCCTAGAATAAAGATTGTTCTGACCAACCAAAAAGCTTACATACTCTTCAGTAGGCTAAAATATGAAGAATATATATATAACTTTTTAAAGATATATCCATTTGTCTTAAGGCCTTTTTTCATTCATTTCTCAATGTAGAATTAGTCAATGCTAACCATATCCTGCATATGTATCATTACTCAGTAACTTCAAAGAAAACATGTACCAGAAATTACTTACTCATGTATTGACAATTGTAGGTTTTCTATAAGTCTATCACTATGTAACCTACATTGAATATATTACCATATTTTAGATTTCCCATTATTTTCATTCATTCTTTCTCTCTTAGGCAAAAGCCAAGGAACTTCAATTCCCATTCTGTTATGTTTCCCTGATGAAAGATCCCACTTTAATTTCTTTCCAGGCCACTATGCACACCTCATTAGAATAATTTAGGATATAAGAGACATCCAAGACAATTTGTTTTGTCTTTCTCCTTCAGATCTCTGAGATGAAATTTGTGTGGTCTCAAGTAGTGACTCAGAAGTCCAGTAAGCCTGTTTAGATATGAACTGTTTCTGCAATGTATTTCTCATTAACAGCTGTGCAGTGTTGGTACTTGAAATGCCCAGTCGGTTGAACTAGTATTTCCACAGGTAGAATAAAAGAAATCCAATGTTAAAAGGACAAATCATACTCCACACAGCAAAAAATAAATTCAAATATGCTTTAGAGAAGTTAATTTTTCCTCTCTTGTCTTGGAGAACAGTAAGCCATGAAACAAAACAGATATGGTTTATAAAAATTACTAATAGCATCCTTCCTCGTTCTGTCCATACCAACTAGTAAAGAACAAATAAACTCCTCTTGCTTTCCACAACTGAAATGAAATCTATCCCTGCTAAGAGTTTGAACCTGCACTTGAACAGAAATAATGAATTTATTTCAATTGCATATATCAGATTCAAAGAACATGAAACTTTTTATTTTACTTTAAACATTCAGATCTGATAAAAAAAATTAGCAGATACAATGATATTTCACTTAACAGTCTCCATCTTTTAAGACACTGAAGACATGCAAATGAAAGTAGTTCCTCAACAACCATGTTTAGCCAAGGACTAATTAATTGTATATCTGACTTGAAACATATGAGCAGTCCCTACAAAACTAACAAAATAGAATCATGTAGACAAAAATGATCTTGTCAGTAAGATGCATGCAGTTAAATCATTGTGTTAAAAATCAATCTTGCCTGAGAATATACGTTCTCACACAAAAACTGTTTTTCATTACATTTGCAACTACCAAAAGAGGTATAAATTTGTTGAATTTATGAAACTACTACTGTGTGTGACAACTTTGATCAAAATTGTCCTAGTATGCACTTTTCAGATATTAAAAGATATTTTTGAAAGACTGTATTTTTTGAAGTAAGTTATTTGTTGGTCATGAATGAGATTCTAGACTGGTTAATAAGTCAGAAGTTTTGCTTTAGTCACCAGATTAAAACTGTTATATTTACACCATTTTTGATATATTTTTTCTGCCTACAGACTCCCAGGGTTTTGGATGAAGAAGGCAATATAAAAGCAATTACAATGTTTAGCATTTCTTTGTAGTTTGTTTTAGAATGTGAATTTTCACCATTTTCTCCTGAAGACATCTCTGGCTTAACCAAGCCAGCAGGAAAGGTTTCCATCCCTGTAAAAAACAAAACAAAACAAACAAACAAAAAAAAACAGTACAGATTTTTGCTAACCTCCCAAAATAGTTACACCCGCAAGGAGATAAGCCAGGCACTTAGGTAATACTTGAATAGTATGGCATTTGATACCAATGTCACAAGAGTAGGTCACAACTAAGCAATTAGCTGCTAGCAGAGGAATGGCTCTGCTTAGCATTTAAAGCAGCCACAGGAAGAATGGGGCAGCTCTAGAAAAAGAGTGCCAAACAAGTAGAGAGCAGAGACAAGGACACTCCTATCTAAGTGAGAATCTACTGTCTGAGTTAATCAAGATCATAACTACTGGAATAATTAAGTTATGCATTTATCAGGAAAAATCTCACTGTGTCAGTGGTCTTTTCCTATTTACAGTATTTTTTCCAATTTACAATATTTTTTCCTCTGTTAGAAATTCAATTCTATTTCCAGATAGTAAAAAGGAGTAAAGAATAGTTTCAAAAACTTAGGGTATCTGGTGGAAGTTCTTTTCTAATAATAGTTACTTGTTTTAAAAAGATTTTCTATTTAATTATCATCTAAGATAAAGCATGTCGTGTACTTTACGTTGGCAAAATCTTTTATTTTTATGCTAAATGTATTATTTATGCTTATTTTTTATATTCATAACCTGTGAATGACACAAAAGAAACTTATCAAAATAAGGCTTCTATCATGCAGATTTCCCCTTCCTATGGCATGGGTCAGGATATATCTGACAAGCACTTGCTACTTATGTTCCTCCCTGAAGGGTTTTATATTCATTTAAATGGAAAGGGACATCAAATTAGAATTCATTACTTAAATTCTCACTTAAAACTTTGTGTTATCTTTTATGGGGAAAAAACCTACCTTAATGCAATTTTTTTTTAGTAGTGATTTTATCACGTCCATATGGATGCATTTCTTTTATTTTCTTTAGTGCAATGAGCTTTTCCTGAATAATAATAAAAAAAAATAATAATTTTAAAGCCTCCCATTCTTGTTAGCCATTGAAATTTCTCACATAATCTTAAAATATGGTCAAATGAAAATAATCCTTATATGTTACTACCATGACTGAAGATCACAAATATTTTAATTATGCCAGGATGTGGAATTTGGAACTAGTCCACCTAGTTTTATAATATTTAGACAAATTAAATTCTTTCTGTTTCACTAAGGGACAAGAAGCTCTTAATGCAATTATTCCTTGCTGATTTTGCATTTTCTGAAAAATCCCTTATTATAATAAAATCTGGCCTTCATTCTTGCAGAGTCACAGCCATAAGGATCACAAAAGATACATTTCTTGGCATAGAACTACTCTGAATACAGTATATGCAAAATCAAGATCAGCAGGACAGAATGGAGAAACATTAACTTAAAGTTAATATTTCAGTTTGCACAAAGCCTGTAGAACTTGAGAGTGCAAATTCTGTATCTCCATATGTAAACATTTTTTATCATCTCCTTTTTGGGGAACACAACAATAGTCTGTTCATTTCCATATATAAATACTACATTATTTCACAATACCCACCCAGTTTTACACATGTAAAAACACATGTACAGCTTGAACAGCTTGAACATGCCTAACATTTCTAGTAAGGTGCTCAGTATTCAAAGTTACATTGCAATGTACCCATAGGTGGCAGAATGGGCATACTATCAGGTGTAAGAAATCATCACCTGTATCAGATCATGGGATAAGCGTTCCAGAGCTTCCTGTGTAGTTTCATTAATTTCTAATTCTGTCATGACTTCCCAGCTACCGTTCTGGAACCTCACTGGCATAGAAAAGACAATCCCTTCAGGAATGCAAAATTGACCTGCAGAAGAAGGAAAAATTACTCAAACATACTATTTCTGATTAAAAACACATTTTCACAAGTGTTGAGATTAAGCCCTACAAACATGCAGAACTCTGCAGCTGTGCAAGAACTTAATATAAAGACTGATTTTTTTTCAGAGAACAATTCAAGGACCAACAGGCTCCCCTTTTACTGTAACTTTGAATTTTAGTTTCATCTACTCATAACAGTTTTATGTCTTAAAAAGTGGAAAATTACATCTTTTATTTCATTTAACATTTAAATGACTGCTGTGAAAATTTTCATTTATTGGTCCACCCATCTACATAAGAACCTGCTTGTATAGGTTAGGCTCTAAGAACTATAAAGATTCCATGTGCAAAACATACATATAAGAAAAGCATTTAAATTAAGTCTAAAAGACAAACTGTAACAAGACAGTATTAACATAAGAGATGCTTTTAAGCAGTAAATATCAAATCACAAGCTTGGGATAGGATAACTGCTTAGATATGGAGGCTCTTGTGCTGAAACAAACTCCCAGCCTATTATTATATGATCTGATTTACAATTGTTTACTAATTTGAAATTTTGATTTAAAAAAATCCCATTATACCTATTGGGGAGAGCTCTAAGGAAGCTATTAGAAAATACATGAAGCAAAAATAGGTTTACCTTCACTAAGTATTCCCACAGAAACAATCTCCCCGGAAGGAGAACCATGAAACCAGTATCTTAGTACTGTAGCTACTGCATGAGCGGGTAACATTGCTGCACAATGACAGACACGGGATCTCAATGAACTCCGTGCAGACAGAAATTCTGAATGGATCCATTCACTGCCAACAAAAAAAGGAAAAAAAAATAAGAAGGAAAAACAACAAACTACTAAGATGACTGTAAGAAGAGTAGTTTCCTAGAGGATAAAAGAACTAAAACCAAGAGAAGATAATAGTTAAAACTTATTCAAACTTTGCTGGAGGCAAGGCACTTAAAGACAGAAAATACAGTCCAAAAGTGGCTCAAGAAATGACAGCAGGCATTACTTGTCTATGAAATATCATTTAGTCAAGTCAAAACTGTTACTATTACTGTTTACATTTGTTACCTCTTACGTTAGGACCCAGCTGTGAACTGTAATTCCCCTTTGCTAGGCACTGTGCAAGTATGGAATAGAAATGTCAGCTACCCAGTAGACGCTGGAAGGTTTATACCAGAGTGGGAGCTCCACGCAGCCAGGCCTGAGTATGTCACCTCTGCTGCTCACTCACTCCAAACATCTTTTCTCTGCTAATTCTCTTTCCACTAGAACCTATCTAGATGCCATGTATCCTTCTCATACCTGTAAACAAATCCTGTTTTGGGAAATTGTCAATATTAGTTCCCTCAGGTCGTAAGTTCTATGTAATTCAGGTACTTCAAGAGGCAGATATGTGTTTAGTATCATTTCAAAGTTTTGTCACGCACTTTAGATACCTAAGTCACTATCTGGCTTTTCTTTATTTCTTAAAGCCTCCTCATATGATACACATGCAATATGTAGGAAAATATAGTTATAAACAAAGTTGGCAGGGGAGTCAAGACTACACAGCACTATGAACTACTCAATTTATATTGCAGACTCAGCACTTCAGCTTGGGTTCTTCTTTATGTACAGTGCTAATCAATAAACAAAAATCTTTCTTGATGTTCATTAAACAGTTCAGATAAACAGAAATGTTTAAAAAGGTATTTAATTTTACTTTAAAAAACAAATTTGTACATTACCTATCATAAATCAAATTCATCAAAGGACGTGAAAAATTAGCTGGGCCCCAAACAGCACTGTCACATCCGTAAATTTTTGTATGTGACAAATCAATGTAGTGACAGCCAGTAATATTGCCCCAGACAATCACATCTTTAACTCCTGCAACAGAGAAAAATACATAAATTAATTAAAAGAAAGACAAACACTTTCACAATATAGGTTGGACTAGATGACCTCTGGAAGTCCCTTTGAAGATGAATTATTCTTTAATTCAGTGTCCTGCCTTAATAGCAGATATGTTTTCATCTGAAAAATGCATCAGTATTCTCCATAACATTTCATGAAACCTCACCAAAAGCTATAAAAGGAACTTTAATTAGTATAATGCTATTATATGTATTAGACAAAAACCTAATATTTAGCTGTTAGAAAACAAATCATTTCACAAACATATAGCAATGTTTCATTTAAAGTCCTGTACATGGAAATATTGACTGCTGAAAGGCAATCTGAAAAGGAAAAAAAAAAACACATTGGTGCAAAAAGAATTTCTCAAATAATCTGCTGACAGGCAAATCAGCCTACCAGTTGTTCTACGAAATACGTGCTCTCAGAGAAGTTCATCCACTGAAATCCCCAAATGCTACCAGAACACAAAAACATTCACCTGCTGCATTCATATTCAGCTTCCTGGCCAGCATGGCTTTAGCTGCGGTTTCCCAGGATGTTGCAACAGCAATGACATTTTCAGGATTAATGGATGGGCCGTATGTGATAATCATCATCGCCTTAAGGTTTACAAAGGTTTTTCCTGCTGAAATTACTCTGACCTCTTTCTTTGCATTCTTTTCAATCAGGGGAGCATACACATAGCAGATCTCACTCACTTTTCTGATGTAATTCTCAAGGGACTGGACTTCACGTTTTAAGAGGATATCATCAAGAACAATGATAATGTCAGCTTGAAGAAAAGCCTTATTTATTTCAGTGTGCTCTGAAATACTTCGGAGGAGTGGGAATGCCATGTCTTCCACTTCCATTACAATACCGCAAAGATCGTTCTTAAACTCGTCAGTGTCTAGCAAATGGATACTGATTTCAGTGGTCATCCCAAACACTTCTCCATTCGCCAACAGAGGTATCAGCTGATAGCATATAGGAGCTGATGCACTAATAAAAGAAGGGTACCGAAAAATCATAGTTAAGCACTGTACACTGCTCTTTTCAAAGTATTACATAAATAAACACAAAGACCTTACTTTTACATTTGATTATATTTAAATACAGCAATAAAAGATCCAAGCTAATGGTCTTTCTCTGTTCTTAACATGTTAAAAATTAAAAGCAGTTGGGGCATCCTTTCATTTGAAGGTTTTTCCATCCTATACATTTCAGGTCATACTGTCATTTAAAGTCTAGTGTCTTACAGAACCACAAATTTTTAAGGTATTTTGTTAGGATTAAGAGAAATACATAAATTTCTACAGGTAGACCTGCTAGGAATTGATTACTTATTTAAATATTTCCAAATACATTTAATGTAAGATACCTGCATTACAAAATTTTGTAAATACTTGTTTTTCCTTCCAAGGTGATGTGGTGAGCTCATTGACAGCTGTTCACATCCCTCACTTAAACTGGAACATAATGTAACGAAAATAGAAATACTTTTCAATTCATATGTTGAATGCTCATAGTGAAGGGTGCAGAACCTAACTCAAATCAGCAAATTACGTGGATTCATGTATAACCTCAGACAGTTATACCTCATATGCTTTGAGAAAAAATACATTCTTCTGAAACTGAGTGAAACTTCATAGATACTCTTTTTACTTTCACCTGGTGATCCAGATCTGCAAAGGGTTGGTAAGATTTCTAATCTCCTCCTCCTCTTTTTCAGTTTCCACAAGTGCCTGTAGGTTCTCCTCAGCAATGTCTAACATTTCCTCACTCAACATCATTGAGGTGATGCCATAATAGTGCTAAGAACAACAACAAAAAAAGTGATCTCTAATGAAATGACAGCTCAAACACAGCAAGGTGTAGGATAGCTTTATTTTACATTTGAAGGAGGAATAAAGAATATTATAAGAAAATGTAAAATATGGGTTTACAGAATAAAAAGCAGCTCACTACCTGAGCATATTCCAGAAAATCATTAACTCCTCCCAGAAGCAGACCCTTCCCTCCACGGTCCAAAAGTTCTCTCCAAATGATTGGAGATTGTCTGTGCTGCCATCCATTCATTTCACAAAGGTCACGGAGCCACTGCTAATATAAATACCCGCCCCCCCCACAAAAAAAAAAAAAAGTTTTAATACCTGTTCACTTATGATAACAGTTAAATGTTACAGTTAGTAACAATCTTATTACTTCCTGTCAATACATGATTACAAAGTGTCTCACAATGTACCCACATACCAGTGTGCAAAAATTGGCAGATTGACACAAAGCAATTCATGATGATACACTGCAATATTTCAGCAAAAGAGCAAAACGTCCTACAGCCTTCTGCTTGGTTTTAACTCTGTAATTTTTCTCCATTGTCTTAATGACACCGAACATAGGAATGTTGTAAAGCAGCGAAAAATCTGAGGATTCCTTAAATAGGTAAGAAGTAGGTAACCTCTGCAGAAGGGTCACTAGGCTGAAGAGGTTAATTGCCATTCACTTTACTGTTGAATTGGCTGAGGTATCAATCAAAAGTATAAGGGGGTAATATAAAGCACAGTACTGTCTGTCTCATGAAGTAATACTGCAATTTTCATTTTTATATGGACTACAGTAAAACAAACTTCAAGTAAAATGAACAACTGAGCATACAGCAAAGTAATTAAAAAGGCCCGCTCACACTGTAAACCAATATATGAGATTTATTTTTATACTTCTGTTATAATTCAAAGCCTTTGAATGCCAGAAATCCTCTTGACAAATAACGGCTGTTAAAGTATACACAATCACAGTGTGCAAAAAAAATTACAGAAAACAGCAGGCTGAACAGTCACATGTACTTAATAAAACATAAACTTCACTTTCTTGCAAGCAAAACACAGTTTCAGTGTGACCTTCATTTTATGTACGTATTCTGTCAGTCAGAACGTTGAAACTTTTCCTCAGGCTGGCGCTCGTACCCAAAGCTGCTTTTGCAGCACTTCCATCCACGTACCAAGATGCTAATCAAAGTAAGAGACAGACTGCAGCCAAGCACACTCCTTGCCAGGCGGAGCACTGGGTTATCTACCACGTTTTGACTGGTAGCGCCTTACCTCCCACCTGTCAGGGTGCTGGGTGATCTTGTGAACCCTGAAGTCCGGCAGGTTTGCCTGGAGGTAGTCAGCCAGGAGCTCCGCTTTGGCATAGTAAGGGCAGTTTGCCCTGCCTGTGGAAACACCAACCGCACGCCCAGAGGCAGATGTGGTGACACGGGCTGGTGAGAACTCGACCAACCCAAAACTTTTGGGGATTTTTCCACACGTTCCGCGCCCCCCCCCGCTCCCCTCAGGCGCCTCACCCGCCAGCACCAGCTTGGCCATGCGCGCGCCGCCCTCCAACGGCCGCCGGCTTGGGGCGTCGCGCGGCAACGCAACGCGCTGCACGCGCCGCCCCGGCCGTTTGGCCCTCGGCGCGCGCCGTCCCCTCTCGCGAGGCTGGCGGAAGGCGGCCGGGCGGCAGCATGGCGGCGGCGCCGCGAGCCGGGTAACGGCCGCCCGCGCCCCTGAGGCAGGTGCCCAACGGCCGCCCAAGGGACGCGGGAGGCAGGAGGGGGCGGCCGGGGCGAGCCGAGCCCTCAAAGTCCCCCTTCACAGCAGCTCTCTTGGGGGGGGTTGTCCCAAATCTTCTCCCTGCAGCTTTACGTGAGGAGTCGCAGGTCTGCTCGCTGAGCTGTGGCTTCCCTTGGGCTTCACACATAGGTGACTTTGTGCTCTCCTTGCAGGCTGGTTTCCGCAGGAGGAGTTTCATCGTGTCCCCTGTCTTGAGTTGGCGCGTCAGATCTGCTCATGAAACGCTCGGCAAAATGAATAACAGGATAAGTAACTTGTTGAACACGGTCAGGTGCTTGCGTCGGTGTGGTCCTGTGCTCGCTCCCAAGTACTCAGGCGCCACAAGAAAACACGCTTCGTGGGTCAGCGGGCACAAGGATCCCCTGGAAAATGTGAACTTCAGAAAATCCTTTCCAAGTATTTTTCCCTCTCCACACGGGTCATCTCTTCGGTTTCTATCTCAAAAGGCAGATGTTTTTAGTGCAGGTGATGAAATACAACCAAAGAGTACTGAGGCTCTGGGGAGTGAACAGGTTCCCCAGAGCTCCTTGGAACTGAAAAACTCGAAGGATGATTCTGGGGGCTCCAAGGTGAAGCCCGTTGTGGATCACAACGAACAATTCTTTAGTAGTCTCCGGAAATGCACCTGTCCTAGCGATGTGCTGGATTTGGCTTCAGAGTCTGCTGTTTCCCTTAAGCACTTCACAAACTGTTTAACTACAACATGGAGACTCCTCAAAACCCTGTCCGAAGACCAGCAGCGTTACGAGAAGCAGCTGATCTTTGAGCACCCAGTCTTCGTCAAGCTCTGTCAGCACCTGCTGCGAGATGCCAGAAGGATGACACGGGCTGACCTGGTGTTCAGTCTGCATGCTGTGGTGAACCTTGGTGTTCCTCAGAACACTCTCCTAGTCCAGACTTTGTTGAGGGTATGCCAGGTGAGTATGAAAACCTCTCTTCTAAATTTGGGCTGAAGTGTCAGGATTAGTTTTGGGAGGCTGCCCAACATCAGAGAGATTTGGGTTACATCCCGGGTTTAATCTGATGTTCATTGGAAATTGGGCTCCCTTAGTTAATCTGGGTGTAATTCTAGTTTCCTTCATTTTTGAAACCACTGGCTGATTTCATACGGATTTAACTGACAAATCATTCTCCTTTTCAAATCAACTAAATGTGGCTGACCTTGTAGGACAATGGAGTCTCAGGAATTGACTCCTCGGGGGGAAGGCAGGATGGCAGGTGGAAATTAAGAGTGGCCAGTTTACTTCTCTGAAGTAACCTAACATTGTGGAACTCTTTAACAGGAAAAGCTCAATCAACTTGATAACCGGTGTATCTCGGTTTTGGCAACTACTTTAGCAGGGCTGGATAAAGACAAGAATGTGAGCGCTCTTCAAGCTGGATTACTGTGAGAAAAATACATTTTTCACATGTTCTTAATATTTAAATATTGTTTGAATGTTATGTCTTATGTAAGTCACGGAGGGAATATCTGCGCATAAAAAACGTATTTTAGTTTTAGGAGTTAGATGATTACATGAGATAACAGCTGTACATGACAGTGATTTTTGGCATTGTCTTTGCAGTTTCAAGCAGAAAGGCTTCTGATGGCATAGGAAGTTAGACCACTCTGCAACTGATACACATTCTGACTGCATCGCCACCACTGTTTTTTTGTGATGTTGGTCAAGTCCCTTTGCATATCTATGCCTCTGTTTTACCTGGGTGTAAAAAGGAGGTAATAAGGCTAGCTTAATTCATTAACTATTTTGATTTAATATGATGAAAAATGCTGTTCAAAGGCCAGGGATTATTTCCTTTGAGTTTAGTAAGGAAAAATTAAGATGAAAACAAGTTTTGACTTCATCTTTTTATAGAGCAAAGCCTATATCTAATGTTTTATCAGAATAACTTCTCTGGTTTTAATGATTTTTCTCTAGAATGATGAGATGTATGTGGGTAACCAGTTTGCTTACTTTCATGATTTTTTTTTACTGAGGCTGTCACAAAACTTGAAATAGATTAGAACTTTTGGTCCCAAGTCAGGTCCTGCTTTGAAAAGGCAGATGTGCTAGTGATACAGACAGAGCACATTGTCCTGTAAGCTTGGGAACGTGGTTCTTGTAGGTTGGTGGAAAGCAGGGGAAAACAGAAACTCCTTCATCACATACTTATGATTCCTCTGTTCTATGATACCCCCTTCTGTTCCTGCAGCTCACAGTGCAGCTTGTTTTGTTTTTTTTTCCTCAGTTGCTCCAGGTCATAGTCAGTGTCCATTCCCAAGTTTCCTGTCTGTTTCAGAACTTGTCTCCATCTAGATGATTCTATGATAAAAACGTGTAATGTTTTCCACAGAAAAGTGTTAATTCCGTGAGGCTTAACAGCACTCACATCTGCGCAGTCACCTGTAGTCTGGGCAGGTGACCCTAGTGTTCAGAATGTGTCAGGGACAACACTTACGTATCAGGGAACATTAAGAAACCATACATTTTTACCAATATAATTATTTCCATGTGGGTTAACATCTGTGCTGCAGCTACATCACATAAAGTTGTGCCAGCCTTGCAAAAAGTAGGCAGGAGAGGAGCAGGGAGTAACAGCTGTAACTTGGGAGTATATCAGTGAGGGAGAATGGGGGTACATACCAGTTCCTGCTGAAACAAGGAAACCATCTCAAGGCCTTGCATTTCTTTCTTCATCAGATTACTAGCGGAGCAGCGAATCCCAAGTATCAGAGACATCTTTATACTGCAAAACCTGATGAAATGCATGGGAAAAGATGCTCCAGTCTTTCTGAAAAAGAAATTAGAGGTGAACTTGGCTGAGGGGTCATTTTTACTTCCAAAAAGCCTGTGCTCTTGCATTGTTTTCTGAACTGTGTATGGTTTTTTCCAGATGCACAAAGAGAATGTATAATACAAAAGTTAACTGCATTTGCTATATGAATCATAGTCCAGCTATATTTGGAAGAGAAACTTAAACTTGGAGCTGGGAATATCACGGAAAGGGGGCAGGAAGCAATGGAGATGGTACAAAAGGAGCTGAGACAGTAAATTAGCAGTACCTTCATCTCATGTTTGTGTTGGCCAGATGGTATTTCATAGAAGCACTTACAGGCTGTTCTGTGATTCCCTTGCCCAACCTCTGTCTGGAAGACTGACGTAATACTGTGTAATTTCTATTGTAGATGCATTTTGCGTTTACCCGTTAATAGACATGCAGTAAGAATATTGTATTTTAATAACAAGTAAAGCTAAACTCTAGTCTCATTTTGACTGTCTCTTGTATCAGTCTAACTACTGCTTCTGTAAATGAAGTCTGTTCTGCAGCATCGTTGCCTCTGTTCACATTAGTTGGATTGTGCTGAAAGCTTACAGCTCTTGCACATGTCCAAAATAGTAATTGCAGTCATAAAGTAAATCAACTGTGGTAATCATATTTCTGCTGCTTTTTTAAGAGTTAGTATATGGTATCACAGTATTTGGAAGTGAGTTTTACTGAGACTTCTTTAAAAAAAAAATCCATATAAAGACAAATTACTGGGAAATTGCTTAGTGACCTAGCTATAGGACACTTGATCTCTTCTGATTGTGTATTGAGAATCTGAAAGAAGTTACTTTATGCTTTTGCTTTTTGTTGCTCCTTTTTGTTTCATTTAAGTCTGGACAGGCTAATGGATTTGGGAAAGTTTTGGTGAAGATTCCTTCACAATAAAGCGCTGGTAACATGTGAAGAATGAAGGATTTAATAACCTCTACTTCACTTTAGATGGCAGTTTTGAAAGAGATTGACCACCTGACTTACATAAATGCTCGGCGTGTGTTTTTGGGTCTTGTTGCAATGAATTATTGTTCCATTCCAATCCTGAATGCCTGCAGTAAAAAGATCCAGGGTAAGAAAAATGTTTATTAAATCTCTCTCCTTTATGCCAAATTTTTCCCTTTCATGTCCCTTTCCTAATTTCCTTTAAAATTCAGGAAATACCTTTGCTTTACAGAAGAGAATACTAATGTGGAGTCATTTGACAAGTGGCAAGACAGAACATTACTGATGGACCATGAAACCGAATAGTTCTTGCATTCTGTACCCTTTTTAACATTTCCTGAATTATATATTTTTCTTTGCTTTTCTTCTGAATGCATTATTTAGGAAAAAGAACTGAATGCTAGAAGTAAAAAGTAAATTTCAGATAAGCTTTTAAAACAAATACGAATTGGAAATAGATAGATGGGTGGTCTGATGCGATTAGTCTGAAGGGAACATAGTGTTTCCCTGATTAACTGGTTTTCAATATTGAATGCTGCAGTCCAGAAAAAAAAAATTAAATGAAAGGTAGTGCTCTCACCTCTCTCCAACCTTTGCAATGCATTTCACAAGTATATGTAGTCAGTACATATTGATTCACACTTAAAATGCATATGAATGTGTGTCTCAAAAAAAAGGAAGATATCAAAACAACATTTATAATATTTAGGAAACAGGAATATTTGGGCTGTTTGTACAGTCATTATTTGTCCTGATGTTCATGTGTGTTAGGACACAGTCTTTAATTACATATAGTGGCTTCTACCACAGGAGTCATGCCATGCTCAGATGCAGGCTACATAGCATGCATAGAGTAAGCAGCTACTCAGTGCTTTTTTCTGTACTTTTTTAGTGCATATCGTCAGGACTTACATGCTGTACATTGTGCTCTGGGCATAGTAATTTATTTCTTGACACAAGTAACCCCTTCTAGAGTATGGAGATGGAACAGGATGAGGAGGGAGGGTTATCCATTGGGTAAGGGAATTTGCCAGCGTGTTTTCCAAGTCCTGTGCTGTTGCTGGGGCTTTCAAGAAAGTAGCACCCTCTTCTGTATCTCAGGA